ATAAATATAATTTTATTTATTTCAATAGTGTTATATTATAACAATTCTATATTTATTAAACAAAATTAGATTGATTATTGATTATTTTTGTGGAATATTATTCATTTGTTAATTAAATATAATATAAAATTCTTCATTTGAGCTCATCCCCAATGCTTATCAATCCTTATCTAGGACAATTAATTTTATTAGTTACTTTCCTCAATGTAGATTCATTAGAATGCAACTCTTATCCTATTGAACCAAATGAATTTTATTTTTCAAATCATTCTAAACATTTCATGGTTGAAAGTGACTCCGATAATCCTGATAGTATAAATGTGTTTGATTACCCTTTAACTCAATAATTAAAAAAGGTTTCATATGATAAAAATGCTGAAATTATTTAGACAATCATAATAGATTCATGGAGTAAAGAAGTTATATTAGAAAAACAACTTTGCTATCTTTTCAAATAAGAAAGCTATTATATATCCTGTATTGTTATTGAAGGGCTCTTTTAAGTCGAACGAGAGAGCTAAACTCAAAATGATTCATAATTCTACTCTTTTACTGAGCGCTTTAAACTACCTGTATTAACTTAATTAGATGAAAGTTGTGATTTTTTATTTCAAAACAGCTCTTTAGGATTATCAATTTTTTGCACTTCATTAAATAGCCTTAATATATACTTTATAAATTAGACAAGCTTGACATTTACTAAGTAAGACTACAAGATTTAATTAGCTTAAGAGAACTGTAAAACAAAGTATATATCTATATTTCAAAATTAATTTTTATTGATATTTTACGACTGTTTGACCTGGGCCATCTATATTTTAAAAAATAATCTCCTTAATTTAATTTTGAATAGAGAAATGGAAATTCAAAAGGATCCATCATTTAATCTCAGTGTGCTTGAAAATTTTTAAATTTGTTAGGATAATTTAATATTAATTGGAGATCATAAGTATTATCATTATTAGTATGTATCAGATGATAGACTAAATTTAAACTTTGTTATGGAAGTCCCTTTTTTAAAATAGGTAGTATTCGATTCAGAATGTCAATTGAAATATTATCTTGGAGGATCCGAATTAATTAACAAATTTTACATTAGAAATAATTAGCTCAACTATGAATTAGAACGTATTCCAAAATATATTTATTTCGTTTCAGATTTATTCTTTGTAATATATGAAGATGAACTTGAAGTAATGTTAACTGATAAATTCAAATAAAAAATCTAGTTAAAACCATTTCCATTACATTTTTAAAAAATAAATAATATCTTTTATCACATTGATTCAGAAAGTAAGTTCTTTACATTTTTTAAATATAAAATATTAAATAATCCCATAATAAGACCTAAAAAACAATTTTTACTAATATATCCTTATAATTTACATTTTGTAGGAGACTCACCTGACTTTTGTATTTAATTTTAAGAAAAACCCCTAAATTACATAAATAATTACACTTTACCAATAGATTCTGAATGTGATATCAGTTCCACAATGTTAATAGAAAAAACATTTCCACAAATACCATATAATTATAAATTTTAAATAGTTTAAGACCAGCTAAATATAATCAACTTCATCACAGATTAATAACAATTCGAACATTTTTGTCCCATTCCAAAAAACTTGCTGAAAAATTCTAGATTTTTATATTTTCATAACTTTGGTAGAACCTATTCAATATTTTAAACATCGAAAGTTTTGAATATATTATTTTGCGATAACTAATAATAAATACAAATTAATATTAAAAATTAGAAGGTACTAAACCATGACGATCATTTTATGTTGATAAATTTGTAGGGAAATCATTTTAGACTTTTAAAAATTTATCATGATGTGCAAATGCAAAAGAAATTTACATTAGACGAAATTATTTAAGTAGTTCTCCATTATTCCAACTATGTATTACTAATTACAACAGCACAGAGTCTAGTTTTATTTGATTTAAACGCAGAACGATATATATAATTACCATCAATATTGAATGATATCTTGTTAACTATTTACTTATAAAATATCAATAATAATGATGAGGTTAAAAACTTTTTTATGAATATCTACAGAAATTCATACTTTATTCAATACTATGAACATTTCATTATTTTTGATAATAATTAGCTCAATCATTTCAAAATAAAATAATTGTAAGTTTTATAAATTAGAAAAATAATTTCTTTAAAAGATAGCTATTATATGGTCGCTGTAGATCTGACCTAAAATGCTCTCCTCTAATATTATTTTGACTTAATAGAATTAACTCTATTGGATGAATATTTTTTTTTTAATTTCAAATTGATAAAACCAATTGTTTACTAGGAAACCTATGAATTTATTACAATCAGTTCCATTATGAATAACAACATCTTTTTGCATATTTTTTAAATTTTAAGAACTTATCCATTCAAATTGAAATAAACTATTTAAACTAGTTCCAATAACAATTTTGTATCCTTCAGGAAATTATACTACTTTGATTAGAATAATGTAATTTAGGTATTAGACTTAAAATATCTATTCCTCTAATTTAATGCTTTGCTTACCAAATAGGAGAATCTAAACTTCAAATAATCCGTAATTTTTTATATCACTCCAGAATCTAATAATGATACTATTATTCAAATATCTCTGAACCTTTCTATATTTATTCACTGCGCAAAATTGATTCCTCTTTTTCGCGAAGTCCCCATCATGTTGGAAGAAGATAATCAAAAAATGCTAAATCTGAGTGACCTTTATGAAGGACCTATTGATATGCTAAAAATATAAGACAATTCAAATGTACTTTTGGAAGGTCCATTTTTATAGTCTCTTTGGCAAGATGAAATATAAAATTTGACATATACTATTAAGTAATTTCAAATTAAGATGATATTAACTACGTTTTAATAATTCTCTAATCATAGGTTGATCTTAAAAATGTAAGTTTTTGATGAATTCGATAAGTATTAACAAGCATCCGGCGTAATTTAATCGGCCTTTTATGTAAACAAAAATTAGATCTTGTTAGTCTACATTCATGAAAGTAAAACAAAAGCTTCAATCTATCGAACAGATNGAACCTATTCAATATTTTAAACATCGAAAGTTTTGAATATATTATTTTGCGATAACTAATAATAAATACAAATTAATATTAAAAATTAGAAGGTACTAAACCATGACGATCATTTTATGTTGATAAATTTGTAGGGAAATCATTTTAGACTTTTAAAAATTTATCATGATGTGCAAATGCAAAAGAAATTTACATTAGACGAAATTATTTAAGTAGTTCTCCATTATTCCAACTATGTATTACTAATTACAACAGCACAGAGTCTAGTTTTATTTGATTTAAACGCAGAACGATATATATAATTACCATCAATATTGAATGATATCTTGTTAACTATTTACTTATAAAATATCAATAATAATGATGAGGTTAAAAACTTTTTTATGAATATCTACAGAAATTCATACTTTATTCAATACTATGAACATTTCATTATTTTTGATAATAATTAGCTCAATCATTTCAAAATAAAATAATTGTAAGTTTTATAAATTAGAAAAATAATTTCTTTAAAAGATAGCTATTATATGGTCGCTGTAGATCTGACCTAAAATGCTCTCCTCTAATATTATTTTGACTTAATAGAATTAACTCTATTGGATGAATATTTTTTTTTTAATTTCAAATTGATAAAACCAATTGTTTACTAGGAAACCTATGAATTTATTACAATCAGTTCCATTATGAATAACAACATCTTTTTGCATATTTTTTAAATTTTAAGAACTTATCCATTCAAATTGAAATAAACTATTTAAACTAGTTCCAATAACAATTTTGTATCCTTCAGGAAATTATACTACTTTGATTAGAATAATGTAATTTAGGTATTAGACTTAAAATATCTATTCCTCTAATTTAATGCTTTGCTTACCAAATAGGAGAATCTAAACTTCAAATAATCCGTAATTTTTTATATCACTCCAGAATCTAATAATGATACTATTATTCAAATATCTCTGAACCTTTCTATATTTATTCACTGCGCAAAATTGATTCCTCTTTTTCGCGAAGTCCCCATCATGTTGGAAGAAGATAATCAAAAAATGCTAAATCTGAGTGACCTTTATGAAGGACCTATTGATATGCTAAAAATATAAGACAATTCAAATGTACTTTTGGAAGGTCCATTTTTATAGTCTCTTTGGCAAGATGAAATATAAAATTTGACATATACTATTAAGTAATTTCAAATTAAGATGATATTAACTACGTTTTAATAATTCTCTAATCATAGGTTGATCTTAAAAATGTAAGTTTTTGATGAATTCGATAAGTATTAACAAGCATCCGGCGTAATTTAATCGGCCTTTTATGTAAACAAAAATTAGATCTTGTTAGTCTACATTCATGAAAGTAAAACAAAAGCTTCAATCTATCGAACAGATTAAGAAAATTTAACATTAAGATAGGATTCAAATGAAATTAGTATTGAATAACTCTTTGCGACAAAAGACCTTATAAAAATTGAAAATCTATTTTCAGATGGTTCTAAGATATTATTTTATGTTCATAATAATTCTATTTTTGAATTAAAAGATAACAATAAGTTAGAAAATTTAATCTTCATTTAAAATTCCAATGATTTGTATTTATCACTAACAAAATCAAATTATCCTTTTCTCAGAATTCAAACATTTGGTATAGAATCAATGGAATTGAAAACTCTAAATGAGTTTAGAATTGATTTTGATAAAATACAAGAAAATTTTGCTCAACATACCTCAAAGGAAAATAATAATTTGTATTCCTTTTTACATATATATCCCATAAAGGCAACAGCCAGCAACTAAACTCTTAATATTTTATGCCTTATGATACTTTCAAATTTCTCTATTCTTCAGGAAATTAGGGTTGATTTAGTTAGTGACCATTTAAATATGACCTTTCTAAACATATTAAGAAACCCTTAATAACAAGATGATTCTACATTAAATTACATCAATGAAAATTTTATAATTTTAAAGTAACGGAATAATTGCTTTTTTTATGACATTAGAGTTTAAAAATAAATATATGATTACACTTTTAACTTTAAGTGCTACCAGGAATCAATATGGTAATATAATACTACTCATTATATTTTTTATTCGTTTATGTATGAGAATTTTACATTTGGGTAAATAGCTTATAGATTAAGCATTTTGGATGATAAAAAATAAGGTCAGACTTGCACTTTAATGGCAGAAAACGCAATATCTAAAGCAGAAATAACTTTAAAGATTAATAAGGCTTCAAATAGAAATTAAATTTCGATAGAAAAGTTCACTTATTTTGCATTAGTTTTTTTGATTTTAACCGTTATTGTTTTGGTTATCTATTCTATTCGAAGATGTTTATTAAAATAATAATTAACATAACCCAGGAGAGTCCTCTTAGTTTTTGGTTAATGATTTATTTGAATATTATTAAAATTGTTATACCCTATATAAATTATATTTAGAAAATAATATGTAACTCAACTTTTATAATTGAATATATTTACTTGGTATTAGTTTACATCCATTTTCACTCGTGATTTTTATAATATTGAGAGTAAATAGATCAAAAAGAAGTGAATTGAATAACTATATTTAGATTTCGTAATGATTATAATATCTCCAAAAACTTTCAAGTCTTAAGAGGTAATTCTCAACTTAATTAATCTATTTTTGAAAAAGTAGCTATTAAAAACAAATTAAATTTGAATCACAAAGAAATTATGGGTATTAATTTTAATTAATTTAATTCTAAAGGGAAAACTAATATATTGAAATATTATCTAATTAAGATTGATTATGAAAATTATTTTAAATTTGAATCAAAAAAATACTCAAATAAAGGTAACTGTGTATATTAATACAAATTAAGATTAGTTTAATGATGAAAATCTATATTTTTAAAAATTTATTGTTGCGAATAAAAAATTTGTATTTAATTTATTATTTATTCAAATATGTAAAGTGAGAGAATAAAATCAAAAAAGAGAGTTAAGCATTACGAATTTCTATACGACTCTAAAATTGGTTCAGGTGCCTATGCTAATGTGTATATGGGGAGGGATATTTATAATGATTAAAGTAGTTAAATATGATAAAATAGCTGTGGCAATTAAAATTATTAGTAATAATTTAATTAAGAGTGATTACACATCTCAATAAATAAAGAGAGAAGTTGAGATAATGAAATCATTTAATCATTAGAACATTGTGAAATTGTTGGATGTATTTCATAGCACAAACAATATATATATAGTGACAGAATATTGTAATGGGGGAGACTTGAAAGCATACTTAGGATCAAGAACATTAAGTGAAGAGAGAGCCCTCTAAATATTTAAATAAATCTTGAATGGTTTGTAAGAATTATTAAGGAATGGAATAGTGCATAGAGATCTAAAACCTGCAAATATTCTACTGCAGGATGGTATTTTCAAAATCACTGATTTCGGGTTTGCAAAACGAGTGCAAATGGACTCAACTATGTCATCACTTGTTGGAACCCCTTTGTATATGGCTCCTTAAATCTTAAAGCGATAGCCATATACAAGTAAATCAGATATTTGGTCTCTTGGACTGATTTTGTATGAAATGATTTACAAAATAACTCCTTGGCATTCAACTAATGTGGTGGAATTATTGAACAGATTAGACAAGGAACCATTGAAATTTCCTTTTCAACCACAAATTGAATTACAAACAAGATAAATAATCATGGGTTGTTTAGGTAAGGAAGAGAGGGATAGATGGGGATGGGATCAATTGATGAAAGCAGTTTAGGGGAATGAAAGATAATAGATGATGAATATTTATCTAACTAAAGAATTGTATTATGTCACCAAGAAATAATAAATGCACAAGCAATAATCTTAATAGAACCTCTAAGAATATTGTAGAACCAGTAGCACTTAATCATCACCTATAAGATCAATCAGTACAAAAAGGACAAAAACAATTGCCAATGAGAACAACAGCAGTGTTTTGTTATCTGAGTTGATTAAGAAAAAGCAATAAATTTATAAGATTTTTGAGTTGCTTGAGAAGTAGCTTGAGAAATTACCAATCATGAAATTGGATCAATGCAGATAGTATCTCTAGGAACAGAGATCAAGATTAGTGTGTGCAAATATAGAATAGATTTATAATAAAGAAGATGAAAGGGAATTGATTTAGCAATAAAAGATTCTGCAACAATATTCAGCCAATTTTGGTGTTTAAATCATGATACTTCTCTTGAAGTGTTATCGTAAGATCATTATAAATAATTATCAAACAGGCACTTTGATTTTGGATTTTGCTGATAGATAAACAATTGAGAATTGCTCTGTTTTAGTTTCAAATCAATACAAGTGATTATAGTATATTTATATATCATTTTAATTTTAATGTCAACATCAAGATTAGCAATTAGATTATATACATATAGAGGTTATTCAGCTCCCTGGAGAGTCAGCATTATGCTTAAATTGAAGTAACTTCAATTCCAACCATTTTTTGTAAACTTACCCAAAGCTGAGTAATTATCAAATATGTACTCTTAAATCAACCCACTTCAAGTATTTGAAATCATTAAATATTAATAGATTGTCCCTACTCTAGAAATTAATGGACAATTACTACATGAGAGTATGGCAATTGCAGAATATCTAGAAGAAGAATTTCCAAGAAACAAATTACTACCCAAATCTCCTCTAGATAAAGCTATAGTTAGGTAATTCCAAGTATATCGTTAGATCTATGTGCGAAACAGTAAATAGTGGTATTCACCCATATCATGCCTCTAGATTCTACAAGTATGTTCACAATTATGTGACAGATATAAATAGATAAGAAATTTCAGAACCTTTCTTAGAGAGAGGTTTCACAGGTTTATTGAATATAATACATAATAGCATTAAACACACTAGTTGAAAAACATGGAGGAGATTATGCTTTCGGGAACTAAGTGACAATTGCAGATGCATTCTTGTACCCAGCATTTAGAGGAGATGATGTATCATATTTGGTCAATTTGGATAAATATCCAGCCCTTAAAAAAGTAGTTGAGAATTTGGACCAACTGTCAGAATTTGCATATGAACATCCAGATTCTCAAGGATGATATTATTAATATGAATAAATATTTATTAAGATTAGTAAGATATTTGGAACCAATTAATTAAGAATAGTAGTCGCACTTTATCAAAGCTATGTAAGCATTTTCTATCGATGTTTATTCATTATTCACTAAACCACATACTTGATATGTTTTCATTGTTTAATTATATAAATTTTAAATAGTATTGATTAAGTATTAAATATCAAGATTTTGTTTAAATGGAGGTTTAAATTGTGTATTAATAATGTATAATTATATTCATAAATGGTCTTTATTGTCTCTCAGAGCAATCAGAATACACATAAATTTAAATTGAGTAATTAATGAAATCAGACAATATCAGTATCTATTTGTATTTAATAAATCGCAATTCTATGATGAAATAAATTATTATAATATTTATGTAATACAATCGTTTAGGAAACACAGGTTTATTAGTTTCTCAATTGGGATTTGGTAACATGGTCAACTTCCAACCTGAAGACGAAGAGGTCAATGTGGCCATTATCAAGAGAGCATATGAGGCTGGAATCAACTTCTTTGATACTGCAGAATTGTTCTTAATTCCTATCTATTATTAGTTATCAACATGGAGAAGCTGAAAAGCAACTTGGTAGATCCATTAAAATACTTAATATTCCAAGAGAGAAATTAGTAATTACTACAAAAGTGTTTGGTAACTAGGCTCCAGGAGGTATTGATCATTTATAGGATTTAGGATTGAATGTGAATAGAATGTGTACATTAAGTAGAAAGCACATCATTGAAGCAGTTAATACTAGTCTCAAGAACCTACAATTGGATTATGTAGATATAGTGTATGCTCATCAATTCGATTCTGAAACACCTATAGAGGAGATCGTGAGAGGATTCAATACAGTAATCGAGGATGGCAAAGCCTTCTATTGGGCTACTAGTAACTGGAATGCTGCTTAGATCCAAGAGGCTATCAATTATGCCGATTTGCATGGATTGATCCGTCCAATAGCTGATCAAGGAGAATATCATATGCTAGAGAGAAAGAGATTCGAGTAAGAGTTCGTATCATTGTATGAAAAATACAACTATGGAACGACCATCTATAGTCCTTTGTGTGGAGGATTCTTAACAGGAAAGTATCTAGAGGGCGTTCCTGAAAATAGCAGATGTGGAAAAGATAATGGATGGCTAACAAAGGAGAGAGCTACAAATAGATTCTTATTGAAACATAGTATAAATTATTGATAGAGTAATAGCAAGTAATCCAAGAAATATTGAAGGGTTGAAATAATTTGTAGCTTTGGCCAAGGAGTTGTCAGTGACTCCTGCTTAATTGGCATTAGCATGGACAATGAGAAATAAGGATATTGATGTTGCTATTACAGGAGCAAGGACAGTAGCCTAATTGGAAGAATCTTTGGGAAGCATTGAATTATTGAAGAAATTTGATAAAGATTTGGATGAGAAATTGGATAAGGTGTTTGAGAATGCACCAAAATAAGAGTTGGAATTCAGAACTATGAAACCATTTCCAAATAGAAGATGATGAATTTATTTATTATAGTTTATTCCAATAAGGTTGTATAAGGTTATGATATTAAATAAAAAGATTGCTCCCTTAAAATATAATAAAATAGCAATAATTCTATTGTTGTTGAAAATTTGTGGTTTTAAATAATAATGAAATATTATTCTTCATAGATCAAATTAAATACTCAAATACTTTCTCTTGGACTTGTCTTATCAATGATTTCTCTGATTTATCATTAGTAATAACGATGTCTGATTTTTTGATTTTAATTTCAGCTTTCATTTATGATTCAATTCTTTGTAAAATTTGCTCTTCAGTAAAGCCACTTCTTTCTTTGACTCTACCATTACAATGTGGATTTACCTTTTAATAATTTCTTCCTGACTAGTCACTACAACAGTAATGATGGGGAAACAGAAGTACTCTAAGACTTTACTTTCAAATAAGAGTGGAGCATCAATGACGACGTATTGATCCATTTGGACAAAGCAGATTTTCCATATGGATTTAGCGATTTCTTTGAAAATGAATTTATTTGTAATAGCTTGCAATTATTTCCTTTTTTGGCCATCTTAAAATACTGAAAATGCAAATCAATACTCTTTACCCACTTCGGCTAGTTTCTGTCTATCAATAGGTTATCCCTCCTGTTGGCCAGCTAGAATGGAGAGTCCGAATCTTGTAACTATGAGTTTATAAGCGGGTTTGCCAGGTTCTACAATGTCTCTGGCAATTTGATCGCAATCTATTACTTAGACTTTAAGGAACTCATTGAAGTATTTTGCTACAGTGGACTTGCCACAACCAATTCCTCCAGTAATGCCTACGATTTGAACTCTTCCAATGTAATGCTGAATTCCGAATATTATGATTAGGGTTATGATGAATCTCACTATTTTGTCAAAGAAATCAAAGAAATTCCAAGTAATCAACACATTGAACAAATAAACTGCAATGAAGAGGAATATCTCATCTACTCGATATCTATTATTAATAAGTGACAAGATGTTATACCTTCTTCTAAATTTACGCTTGTTGAGGTTGATTAGTATGCATAAGAGACACAGCAAGGCGAGGTAGAAGGGGTAACATACATATTCTATGATATGAATTTCGGTGTGTTCAGAATGATTAATCTCTTCAATAATTACTTATTCTTCACTATTTAATTATTCCATTAAGGTATTCGTTTTTTGTTTTTATTAATATATTATGAAATCAGCATTGCTTCTTTTAGTCATTGCTTTGGCAACAGCTTCAACAGTTGCTGACCTCACATAGAGATTGTCAAACTATGCCGAACACCCTTTTGGATCTTCCATGATTAACTTGGTCAGTGTTAACATGAAAACTGGTGGATCACTCAACGAACTTAAACAACTTCTCCAACAAATCAAGGATGAATTGATCGCACTCACACAATTGCAAGATTAAGAAAATGCCACTTTCACCAGAAGATCTCAAGTTGACCTCGCCAAACTACAAGCCACACTAGAATAAGCCTAATAAGATCTTGATAATCAAAGATAAGAACAATCCAGTCTTAGTAATGAATTGGCTACACTCTAAACCAGAGTCAAAGAAGATTAAGCGGCTCTTGATAGAAATGGCAGAGGCAGCTCTGATGCTCAATCCAGACTTGATGCTGAAAATGCAGATTTTGCTACCAAACTCTCTGATTACAGCGATGCCATCTTAGCATGCAAAGAAGCCCAAAGATTATTGCTTAATTTGAGAGGAGAAGGAGCATCTCTTATTCAATTGACGTATTGCTTATCTTATCTATTCATCTAGCCAAGACACCAAGATCAATCTTATTTAAACTAAGGAGAACTTCTAAAAGATCAAAGAGATTCTTGAAGCTCACACCAAGAAGAGTTCACTCACTCTCTTCCAACCAATCATTGAAGGTTTGGCTGAAATGACCACCAAAGTCAATCCAGAAACATTGAATAATGTCTTGAGCTTAGTTGCCAGATTGATTACTGCCTTATAAGAAGGATAAGATTAATTGGAAGCCAATCACAAGACTCAAGTAGACAATCTCACTAGATTGGGAGATGATTTGAGCAATGAAAAGCAAACCCTCCAAGTCTCTTTGGCCACTGCAAACAATAGACTCAAAGAAATCCAATCAAGATTGAACGAATTAGACGGTTTAATCAACATTTCCAATGCTATTGTTGAAGTCACCCAATTGAACATCTAGGATGCCACCAGAATCAACGAATTAGAGGATTAAGAATACAGCAACCAAAAAGTTAGCAGGTATTTTATTATACTCATAATGTAGATAAACTGAAATCGATATCGTAGATAGATTAATTGAATATATCAACCAAAAACTATCTGAATGATTAATACAGCAAATGCATATATTCAATTTTTATTAATATTCAATAACATCTTAGTATATACATATTATCTGGCTAGTTTTGAATTTTTAACAAAAATGTCTTCTGGATTGCCACTTCGCCCCAGTTGATCCAATAAGTCAAATTCTCAAAAATGTGAGAAGGGAATTATTCAGATAGGATGAAAATTTGGGTGATTCATATTGTTCGAGATTACGTTAGAAGTAACAAATTAATTATACTTAAGAAATTAGATATGTTGATGTAAATAGAGGAAATTACTTAATGAGTTGTTATTTGTTATATATATAATTGATGCCTGTAATGAAATGTGTAATTTATTATTTATAGTGTAATTTAAACAACCTTGTCAGATAAGATGAGTATCGTTAATGCTTCTGAAAATTTCATCAACATAAATTCACCAGACAATTCTAGAGCCATTTTGGTGAGGAAACGACGCAAGATTGATACGGGTTGGAAGAGCAATTTCATGTTGTAAACCATACGAAATAAGGCGGAGAAAAGAGAAGTATTAGTGAAATGTATAAACAGAATGAGATAATCAACTTAAGTAAAAATTGGATTGTAAGCATAGGTGAAACAATTTCATTCCTTGACGGAGAAGCAATTAAATGTGATCGACGATTTCGGATCTGGGCATTCAAAGGGGACTACTACTAAACAAATTAAAAAGCAAGAAACTCAATTTGAATCCATTTATTATGAATCAAAGTTATAAATGGGAAAACTCAGGGGATTGGTCCTCCGATATTTAGAGAAACACAGCAAAAATCAAGAATGGTCAATTAAACCAAGTCATCCTTTCATTATTATTTGGAACATGTTCAAACTATTTTTTATGGTCCATATTTTCATTCTATTTCCATTAATTGATGCATTCGGAGTGAAATTGAATTAAGTAATAGTTAGATAAGAATAAATATTTTTGATGGAATGGATATTTCTAGTACGTATATATTGTGATACCTTAGTTGCTCGATATTGTATTAAGATTTAATGTGCAGATATACAAGAGTGGCCAATTGATAAAATAGCACTAATATTTGGCATTACAATATTTGAAAAGTGGATTCTTTTTGGATGCCCTGGGCATTGTTGGATTCTCCTTGTTCCTGTTTCAAGACATTCTATACATCAAATACATCTATTTTTTCAAGATATCTGAAATTAAAAAGTTCATCAAGTTCCTGAGATACGAATTGGATCCACAAAATAAATACAACAATCACATCAAACTGATTACACTCTTTGTGACCATATTTCTATTAGCACATATCATAGTAAGATAATATCCAAAATAATAGGCATGTCTATGGATAGTTGCTGGTCACACTGAACCCAGTTGGTTGAGTAATCATGGTCTATAAGACGATCAGTGGTATATCCAATATCTATGGGCGTTTTATTTTGCCATCCTCACAATGACTACTGTAGGTTATGGAGATATAGTTCCAGTCAATGAGATTGAATTGATAGCTTGTATTATGATCGTACTGCTTTCCAGTGCAATATTTGCTTACACTCTAAACACCATTACGACGGTTCTCAAAGACATCGATCAAAACAAGAGTTAGTTTAATCAGGAGGCCAGGATCATATAGAATTACTTAGTAAAGAAAGGTTGTGATACAGATTTGTAGAGGAGAGTGTAATAATATTTGAAATCTCTATTGAAATGGGGTTTGGGAGAATAAAAGTAGAATGAAGATAGGATATTCTCCAAATTAAGTAGACCTCTGCAATAAGAAATCAATTTGCAGGATAAGGGTCAGATGTTACTCAAATTACCATTCCTAGTTAACAATTTTAATATCGAGTGTATTAAAGAGTTGATGTAACACATTCAGGAAGTGTATTACCAGCCTGGAGAATTTATTAATCCCTAAGATGGAGTTTATCTATTGTATAAAGGATAAGCAGAGGTCTGTTGGGGCTCGTAGATCAATCCTAAATACATTTGTGATATATTCTAAGGTGATCACTATGGATTACTGAACTTATTTAATGTTGATCAATCTAAATACTTTCTCAAGAGCTCAGGATTCTCAATTTTCTATTTCATACCAACCTAGATATTCAAATAAGTATTGAAGAATAATGATAAGGAAGTCTTCTGCATGATTCACGATTAAGTTATCTTTGAAAACTATTCAAATCTCTACCTATTTTGTCCACTTTGTAGACGAGAAGGCCATCTCATTTGTCAAGATATCACCTACAAACCTCACAGAGCCATCGCTATTGCCAAGTCTAATAAACAATCTGTTTAAGAAAGATAGCAATACAAACGTTTCTGCGTTAAACAATAGATCTTGAGGAACTACAAAGAGATGCATGTTGAAACATGCCAATTCATTAACGATAAAAAGGAGATCATGAAAATTAAATATAAATCTATCTTCGATTCTGATGATGCAGATGAAGAACCTGAAAGTATTGAATTGCAATCCTCTCAATCTTGGTAATTTGATGAAGCCTAAATGGATGAACAAAAGGTTCCTATTCATGTTGATGAAAATCAATTCAAACCCAAAATCCCTTAATAAAAAAGATTATCTCTTAATAAACGACAGACCATTGTTGGGTTTCAAAAAAAGAAAACCTAAGACATTATGTAAATCAATTTATCAAACATTTAAGAAGCAGAGACATTCCCAAATCATCATAATCAAATTCCTGATAACAGCACTCTCAAATCGAAAGATACATTCGATAATATTGACGTTATGAAATCTTTTAATAAATACTTCAAAAAATACAATTATCAAAATATTATTAAATAACTAAATTAGAGAAGGAAAAGCATTAAGAAAAAAATTAAAAGATTAGACAGGGTCTATTGAATTCATGGTTGTTATATTTATCAATTAGAAATTTATGATTGTACACATATTATAAAACAGAAAGATAATTTTCTTATATATATGAATTGAAATTAATTTTTGAATTTCAAATTATATTTGAATTCATAAATGGTTTCTTGTTTTATTACATTATTAGTTAAATCACATCTAAATAGTTTCTGTATATTATTATATTCCCATAAAATTGATATTGAATAGAAAATACATCCTAGGAAACAAAATAAAAGTTCATTATTTAATTCTTAAACAAAGTCCTCTACTCTCAAATGGATCAAAGGATTGAACTATTAAACAAAAAAAATCTCTATTTCTTTCAAGATATGATATTGTATCTTTTAGATTCTGATAATGGGTAATAATTATATATTATATATTTAATGTATGCATAATTATCATGCTAAGAGTCCTTTTCCTTCAGAATGCAACCAAGTGGGCAATGATGGTTTAACTTTCTTGACCTTTGTTGCTGATTTCTTTTCAACTTATTGTGTAAGTTCAGATTTGAGTTGAGAAATCAAGGATGAATCGAATTTACTCAAGTCTCTATTGTTATTAATAGCTTCAAGAGCATAGAATCGTTGGAAATCAAATTTTTCGCTAAAATATTGAATTGGAAATTTACCCTTCCTTAACGATGGATCCAGGATAGAGGTCAATGAATCTATTGACATTGATTTCAAATTGTCTTCTGCCTTCCTCAGTAGCTAAAAGGTTTTGGAATATAGCATACTTAATTGAGCTTTGAATGGTTTGGGAATGTTAGCCAATTCTTCCTTGGAGTATTCAAGACCCTTGTACATGACTTCGTTGTAAAAGTATCTGTCCCAAGAGTCGACTCTGAGGAGACCGAAAAAGAGGAACCACTCAAGAGGCAATAATTTCTAAAGGATGGTCCCTCTTGCAGTAGGTGTCATATCACTCATGTAGTTTTGATAGACATAATTGTCCCATTCATATATGTTTTAAACGCTATCAGCCAATGTTCGCTCTCTTGCTTCTGCTTATAACCATTCTGGAGCTGTGGATCCTCTGACACCTCTTTCGACTTTTGAGAATCTTGCTCTTCGTTTATTGAAGAGAATCCAAGTGTAGGGATGGAATCCTTCTCTTTGGATGTGTTCGAAGAGGGGATCTCTTCTTAATTCTCTATCTTGAAATAGAAGTAAATCTTCTAATGCCAATCCTCGATCCAAGCCAACGTTTCTCATCCATCGGTAGAAGAATCTTGAGCTGAAGAGATCGTTGAGTACCTTGCTAATAAGGGCTCAACCATCTTGTAGATGAGACCAGTCCATCCTTGAGTGAATAATTTGACTGCTGAAAGTGTCATGGCAGGTGTTCGTGGTTCTGAGTACCATTTCTTGGGAGACCCAATAATTCTTTGTCTATTGAGGGCACGTATGTTGACTAATTGTTCATAGACGAGTTTCTCTAGTCGAACCATAGATGTAAATTAAATCTTTTTTTTATTTATATTTACTAATAAATGGACTAAGAAGCATTAATGCAAATCCTCCAAACTTTGATGAAGGATCAAGGCGAAATTAAAATTGGAAATTTTGTAATTTAACAACAGGAACCAAAAAGAAATAACACCACTTTGATTCCACATAACAAGGCCGATGTTCCTCAATTCAGCAAAAGCTAATAAGATATAGATTACATAATAACTAAACCGAATGAGTTTGTGAATGATCTGTTCTTCGATGAACCACTGCCAGATTTGGATTAATTCATCGAACAGGAGGTTGTGTCAAATTTTACAATCGATTCATAAACAAAGCCCAACAATGTTTAAAAATAGTTGTTCTCTAAAACCTATTAGATGATAGACAAATTTAGTCCAAACCTCAAAGAAGAATTTGAAAGTGCATTGGAGTATGATTTTGAATAATTGCTCAAACCGAAAACGTCCGAATGTTCCTCTGACACTATGACTACCATTACAGATACTACTTCCAGTGACCCTTTAAGGACCTTCCTTATGTCTTTGATTCCAATAAAATCTTCCCTCTCTCCCACGAAGTAAACTTAGATTGATTTTTTATTTTTGTACTCCCAACCTCTGTTACAAATCACCAACAACTCGACCAAGAAAGCTGTGCAGAAATTGGAAATAAACAAAGAGTTGAATTCAATCAAAGAAGTATTTATAGATGTCAAAGCAGAAATCAAATTTATGGCAACGCCAGCAAGAATGGATAGATTTGGAGAAGCCCTGGATTTGAATCCTAAAGCCTTGCATTATGCAGGTCATGGAATCTACATGGAATCAAATCAACAATCATACCTCCTATTTGAGTAATTACATGGAGTAGCCTAATTAGTTTCAGCAAATCAAATTCTGTTATGCCTCCAAAAACTCAAATCTCCAATCCTCTTTGTGTTTGTAGCCAGTTGTCATTCCAAACTCATAGGCGAAGTCTTTCATCAAGCTGGAGCTGAACATGTGATCTGTGTCCACTCGAAAGAACAGATAATGGATGAGGCCTGTTGTGTCTTCGCCAGATCATTCTATCATGGCTTAATCAAAGGACAATAGACTGTCTGCTAAGCCTTTCTAACTGCCAAAAATTAAGTCAAAGTTGAAGGGAGATTCCCATATGCCGAAGAAAACAAATTCCTTCTGCTTACTAGGACACCTCATCAATGCTCGACATGGTTGTTGCGAGAAGGGGAGTTCAAAGATCTCACTCCTCAACAGAACTAAAATAATCTCCCTTCTCTTGTCTCCAATTTCACTGGCAGAACTCAATAGATGTAAGAAGTTATGGACAAAATCATTTAAAATTAACTTATTAACATCAAAGGGGTGTTGGGAATAGGCAAAAGTGCCTTGATAAAGGAAATCAGTATCTACATAGCGTAAAGAAACATTTTCAAAAATGGAGTTGTCTACATATAACTGAATTAATGTGATAGTTTTGATAGTGTAACCAGTAGGTTTGCTTAAATCTTTATGCCCAATCTAACATTGTAAAGTAATTATGAAATCAAATAATTGATGGTCACTCAAATCATATAAACGATTAAAAATTAAGAATTCCTCCTCATTCTGGATAATTGCGATTTGATTATGCATTCCAATGATCGTGATGTCTTTGTAGACTTTCTTGAATTGATCTTGGCGAATTGTATATGCCATTTATGTATCACAAATAGAAGTGAAATTCTTCAATAAGGGAGAGTAATTAAAATTGAAGGATTACCCCAAGAAGAAAGTGCCCAATTATTTATTAATTCATCTTCAAGAGAAATTACCATTCAAGAAGTTGAAGAATTATTAGGTTGCAATGATCTTCTGAATAGATATACTTGGAATGATAAATTATTGATCTAGAAATTCTCCAATCATGCCCTTTTCCAAATTCTGGATGGACATCCTTAAGGTATCATACTATCATCTGGCTTACTCGAGAATTACACTCTAAAAGAATTATACCAGCAACTATCTTACAAATAGTTGATGGACTTACCTATTTCAAGTAGGGTAACTGAAGAGGAAAGGAGATCTCTCAGAGTGTCATTGAATCTAAGTTGGGCCAACTTGGTGGAAAGATATGAAAAAGCTGCCATCTTTTTTGGGATGCTGGGATTGCTGCCTTGTGGAATTTACAATGATGAATTAAATGATGTTTGGGGGCCAGGATGGGAAAAATTGGCAACTCAATTGATTAAGAGTTCCTTATTGTTGTCAACTAAGAAAAATACCAAAACGCATTATTGCTTATACAATTTTACTGTTAAGTTTGCAGAGAGTAAATTGGATTCTAAATAGAAAAGATTATATCATCATAATATTGTTAAATTATTACTAAAAAAGTCACTGACTTATTATACTCAAATAGGTACTTAAGCACATGACATTAATAATCAACCAAATGATGACTTCTTGGCAATTGAATAAAATATCAAGAGTGCTATTTTTAGAGAATTTGAAATCATATCAAATGGTTAATTTGAAATTGAACCCTAAAAACAAGAAAACAAGGATTAGGAAAATGATGATGAAACATTCAATTTGCCTTTGACCAAAGAAAACTTAGAAATGATGCAAAAGAAATATGAAAACAATAGTTAAAAATCTCATCTAAGTTCCAAAGTAGGATTCACAGGATCTGTTATATCGAGCTTTAAATATGATCAAATCTCTGATGATTATATGACTAATGGTCCAAAACGAAAATCTTTTTCTATCGCTAAGGTTGGAGTCACAATTAGTGAAGAGGATGAATTGTAATCTAATAAAGACTATTCAGATAATGGCATGAGTATTAATTATGTGGAATCCAAGCTTTTTAAGATCAACTCCAACAATGTTAAGCATGAACTCATTGATGATTCTAGCAATCCCTAGGAATGCCAACCCTAATTATAATTTCAATAGATATAAATTCCTCAAGTCATTTAGAGTGATTAAACCCAAGTTCAAAAGGTTGTAGATCCAAAATTTATTAAGTCCTCCCCAAATCCTAATCCATTAACTCAAAGAGTTACTTTTCTTGATTAGCAAATTAAACCTATTGCCCAGGATATGAAAAAATAGAAATTTGAAGAGGATGAGAAGCAACATCAACCTCTATCTAAGCGATAAGCAATTTCTAAGAAGGGAGATAGAGCAAAATCTGGTAAAGCCAAAGAAGAACCTACATCATCGGCCTAATAACCAAATAAAAAGGATAAAATATAAAAACTTATCTTGTATTATTGCTAAATTTTGTTGCTTCAGAGAAGGTACAATGAGTGTCTAAAATTTATTAACTGGGCTTATCAATACTTTTATGGAGATTTGTTATTCACTGCTAATATCATCAAGACAAAGGCATGTGTGTATTATATGCTTAAGGAACCCAAAAAATCTTAATAAGCATTTAAGTAAGCAAAGGAGATGTTCATTAAAAAGGGTTGTACTCTAGGTGTTGCCTGTTGTGAAGCTGCTAGTGGTTACATTTCATTATAAGAACGAAGTTTGTCATAAGCCAAAGTTAATTTTGAAAATGCACTTTAATTTTATGAGTAACTAAATCACGATTTTGGAAAACACTTTCTAAATAGATGGCTGCTCTTAGTTAAAAATAAAATTTCAAGTCTCAAAAATGATAGAGCCAAACACATTCAATAGGAAAAGATGTTGATTGAAAATCTTAAACAAGAATTCAAAAAGGGAATCAAAGTTGACAATCTAATCTAAAAAAAACACAAGGGAGGAGTCTTCATTTTAAGATGGCTAGGTGATACGTTATCTATTTTCATTGAGATTGCTACAGTTGAAGATTCTAAATAGAAGGATATTATGAGCATTTTGAGAGTTGTTGAATAGAATCCAATTACAAATTATAAGAGAAATTCAAAAAAGTCAGATGAAATCGATATCAGACCCACAACTGTGAGTAATGCTAAACCGACTAGTTCAAGCAGCAGTACTGCAACTCTGAAAAGGTTTAATAAAGTATAGAAGCCACCAGTTAATAGCAAATATTTAATTGAGATAGCAGAAAACGCATAACAAGAGGAAGATCCTACAAATACATCCTTATAACAATTATAGAAATAATAATAACAATAGTAGTAACCATAAAAACAGTTTATAAAAAAGAATGTTCAATTATAAATGATGCCTTGCCAAAAAAAAACTACCAAAAATTAATGATAAATTTAACAAAAACTCAATTATTAGATATATGCATCATGCCCTATTTAATTAATTCTCTCTCTGCTTTCACATATCCAAATAATGCTGATAATACTTATAAGGGTTCTACAGAAAATCTTAAATATATAAATATCACTTAATACCTCTGTAAATACTTTTTATATTCTATTTCTTTAACTACTCTCTACAATTCCAAATCTTCAAATTTCTTAAACAAGCCCTCTTTGATTTCAATGTCTTTTTAGATTTATTAGTATTCTCTTATTAATTTTTCTTTGTCTTCTGAAATAAAAGATTACTCTAGGATGACACTGGCTTCAGTTTTGAACATTTTTTATATTTTTTTCTGTGCTTCAGTGTATATTATATCATTCAAAGTTTGTTTGCTTTAGAAAATCTATGTAAGAGTTCCTTGGATGCTCTGTTTCTCCTCCCTATTCAATCCTTTAAGTAATAGATTAATTTCTCCACTTGATTTCATTCTCCTATCTCTTAAAGTCTTTCTTTTAATGTCTTCTGAATCAATTTACGAAAAATGATTTTTAGATAATATGGTTAAGATCGAGGTATTTAAATTGTCCTGTGAGGTTTCTAATTTACCATGATAACTTCCAAAAAGCTGATGAGCTCTTATGAACAATTCATTCAATTCAATCATTTTTTTGGCTTTCTAAATTAGAAATTCTCTTCCTTTAGAATCTAGATAAGATGGGAAGTTATCATCACATAATTTTTCATTAGTATCCCAAACAGCCTTTACAATCCAACATAACCCTTATTTTCTACAATCGAGACCAATTTTAAGTAATTCCAATAGAAATCCTTAAATAGATTTTAATAATTCTTTATTATTTTTGTTTAATTTAGAATTTTCAGTCTCTAATTTTTCAATCTATTTGAAATTGAGTTTAATTTACAATTTGTATTTCTTGTAACTATCTTTCATAGTTTCTAATTGAGATTCTATTTCATTCTGTTTTCCAACCGTGGCCATATAAAAATCAACATTAGAAGACTTCTAAGATTTTTACACTTATGAATTGTTGTTGCTACCAACTTTGCCGAGTTCTTCTCTCAATTATTTTTATAGATCCTCAATGGATCTGAGTCTATTGTATATTTCATGATTCTCCATCCTTAAAGTCTCTAGATCATGATCATTTTTATCAACAATCTTTTTTTGCTTCTCCAATTTCGCATTGATCTATTGTAAAATTGAATTGGTCTATTTTTCATAAAACACAGCTCTCTCATTTGCATTTAAGAAATTAGTCAAATGCATCTTGATCCTTGTATGCAAACTATTCTTCAAACCCTCAACAGTGTAATCAAAGATCAAAGTGTCAGTCTACTTCTCCTCATGCGATTATTTTTACCTTGCCTATTCTATATTAATTAATTCTTATGAAGTGAGGGTAGATCCTTATTAGAGATACTTATCCAATTATTTGACCAGGCCCATGTCTTGATGCAATAATTCGGCTTTCTTTAAATTAGACAATTTGGCCAATGATCCTTTGACTTTGGCTTAGAAAAGATTTTGACTTTCAGCTTATGGAGATTTGTCATCGGAGGATTGAGATTGCATCAATTTGGGGAATGCTGGCAAGAGAGTGGTGCCAGTCCGTTTATCCACAGCTCCTCTTCTAAAGGAAGAGACTGATGCTGTCTTTTAGAGCTGGGCTATTACCTACTCTATATTAAAAAGAATTGTTAATACTTTCTTTTTCTATCTCCAATTATTTCTTCTCGAACTCTTACTACTTCTTGACCTTCACTTGCTTCCACCATTAATCGAGATTGGCCACCATCAAGTCATCACTTTCAGGCTTATACTATCTATTTCCCTTAAATTGTTCTTCTTTATGAAGCACAGGTTTTACTTACTAAGTGTTCTCGTCTTCATCTAATTTTTCATAACTAAAATCAATATAGAGGTTACATTTCTTAAAGTAGCAATTTACCACCGGGTTCATTCACTAACTTACTTCGCAAATTCGACTCCAAATCTGAGCGTTTTACTTTTTTATGTAGCTTTATGGGTTTCTTTGTTAGATCCTTTGGATTAGTGGTTACAATTTCATTCTAAATATAAATCTGCAATACCATATCTGGTTGTATAATATCATAGAATTAGATGGAATTCATCTCATCATTCAAGATTTTTTTTTTCATGTCATTCAACACTAACTACTCAATTTAATAATGGTTTTGAGGTCGCACTTTATACTGCAGAATCTCTGGAGCTGACTAAGAATTTTGCTTTTTAGACATTAAATATATTTATAATATTTCATTAATTTAATTTGAGCAAAACCCAACTCTTTTATCTATCCAACACTCTTTTTAGTATCATAACCAAATATTTTGTAGGCAACATCATTCTCCTACGCTCCTCCTTACTTTGCAATTTGCTGAACCCCCATCTACATTGTATTTTCTTAAAAATCTTCTCCAAATCCTAAAACCCATATGAAAAGGATCTAAATTTCCTCCTCTACCTCAATGAGTGTAATGATAACATTTTAATGCTTTATTTCTATAGCTTATTTTGAAATTAATACAATAACTCAAATATAATCGGAGATCTTTATGTCACTGATTGAATTTGCTAAAATGAAAATTGAATTTACTTTTTGAATACGTTCTATAAACACCTTTGCAAATGCAAATCTTTATAGACCCTATTCAAACATTATCCATATTCAAATAATTTTATATTTACGAACCTTATCAATCGACTCAACCCCTCTTTTCTTCTAATCTAACACTTCAATCTATCGAAGTATTGCCCTAATTTATTGGTGTAAATCCTCCTTATCTTAGAACCAAAGTGATCAAAAAATATCAAAAGTTATGTTTGTTGAGACCAATACTTCATGTATACTTGCATCAATAGTTCCTCCTATTTCCTCTTATTTATGAGTATCTTCCTCAACTGCTCTCTCTTTGCTTATTGCAATCTCTAATTCACTAATGTTAAATTCCTTTGAAGTATAAAATATTTGATTTCCTAAAATGAAATAATCATCTTCTTCTTCCTTATGTTTTAAAGCACTATGAACAAAAGAATTGGTGCATTAGTCTGTTACATACTCTCAAAATCAATAATGCTCTCTTGTTTGATACTTAAGTTAGCAAATGAAATCTTGAACCCTTCTCCCACATCCGAGTTCTCACTGACTCCCAAAGAACACACTTCATCGAATATATTTCTCTCAAAAACCAACGATTCTTTAATCCTAATCAACTCCCTCAAGTTCCGTAGAATCGGTTTTCGAAGGGCTTCTAAAAGTAATTTTGCTGCATTCTCTTGAGGGATTGTATTCGGGTTGCAATTCTCCTTGTTCTTCCTCAGCATTTTACTCTAAAGAAATTTATGAGAGAGATTCTTTATCTATTTATTTGCTTTGCTGAAATCAATAGTCTGAATTGATTACAATTTCATTTTTTTGTATTTAAATTATATAACGTTAAACTCATTCTTAATTTTGAAATGATGTATCAAACTTACCCAAATCAATTTAACAATTAATAAGGGAGATGGCTAAATTCAATTTACGATGTTTTCTATATTTTATTATATTTTGAAAATCAATTTTTTATTTTATAACTCTATTATTTGCAATCTCTGAATTTGGAAGAAAAAGTGTATAAGTTGATTAAGAACTCTCCTATGATGAAGTTTAATTATTTCAGTTGTCCTTAAATTCATACTAGGTTTCTGTAGGAGTCCTTTAAGTAAGTTATTTATGATATTTTTTTATAAAAATGAAAATCAAAGATTAGCTTTATTAACAAAATAGTAAATTAATATCAAAATTAACTTTATTGAGTCATAATGTTATATGGAGTATTTTTTACATTATAATTTTAATACTATTTTCCCAACTAAAACGAAATCATTTAACTTATATATTTTAATATCATCATGCCTTAGGAGTTTTCAGATTTAAAATCAAAATTAAATATGATAGTTAATTGATATATAATAAGGAAAATAAGATAATGAGGGTTTATTCTTACTATGAATTTAACTAAAAAAACAAAAATTATTGATCATTATTACATAGTTTTGGATCTTCTTTTTTTGAGCAAAAAGCTAAATAAAATAACCTCGCAAACTATAATGATACTTAATTAGATTTCAAAAATATTTTCTTCCTTCTCATTTTTTAAATCAATTTAAAATTCAAGTTAGGATAGCGAATTTTTAACAGTCAAATTAAATGATTTGGTTTATTAATGATCAATTTTAATCTTATATGAATCAACTTAATAAACTATATAATCTTAAGATTTATCATTTGGTACTACTATAAAGTGAGATTCGTTATATTTTAGAACCAATTAAAAATTAGTATATAGTGTATATAACTCATCTATAAGATTAACTTCGCTTAAATTATATATAGAAATTGTATTTTAGCGCTTCAAAATATTGTAACATGAAAGTATTAACACTTAATTATTTTACATAAAGAAAATTTCCTAATTTATTGTATTTTAAAAAACTCTCATCAATGCACTTCTTAAAATAGTCAAATTTTCTTTATTGAAGCTCAACTCAACTACTTAATTGTAAGATTCAGATAACATTATAAATACTTGGGCATAATATTAATTATAAAATAATGAGTTTATTTTATTATCTATTTGTTCCATGAATAATACTTAAAAGTAAGATTAGAAATTTTCAGGAGTATTAATAAATTCATTTAAAGTTGCATTTACTTAAAAATGCTATTGATTGAAAAAATCATATATGATAATTTCAATTGTTTTATTTAAAGCAAGCTTTTAATAAATAGCAACAAAATTTGAATTATTTATTTAATTTACTTAGCAGAAATGGCAATCTAATGAGTTTATTTTTATAAATGTATTATTTCGAATTTCATAGAAGGAAATTGAATGTTCGAAGCTAATTAAGCAATATTAATTTATTATTTAAATGCTGAGTATCAAGTTCTGATATTACTTGATCAATCTAAAATTAGCAATGTTCTCTAACTTAGACTTTAAATATAATTCAATGAAGTAATAGATTTCTTGTTAGTAATACACTATAAAATAAAGTCCTGAGTTCAACGTCATGAAATGAGATTTTTATTGTAGATCAAATGTTTTAAAATATTATGAAGATCCGTATATATTAGAGATTGTTATTGATTAATTATTTTCATTAACGCAAATGGCCTAATCAACATTTTCGCATTTTAACCTATTAATGTAATCAACTTAAATTATAGGAAATATTAACTCATATGTATTTGTGATAATAGTTTCTATGGGTCCAAAAGCAAATCTTCTTGGATCAAATAAAATAAATTGCTATAATGAATGATATTTTAATTGCAAAACTTTAGTGGAAGTAGATTTTAGTTACTGGAATCTATTGGTTAGATTTAATTAAATATAGTTTAATTGAGATTGAGTTTAATCAAATTTATAAAAGAGAAGAAGAGGTACCTTTATATTTTTAATAGGCTCGGCAAATTCATTTATTCTACATTTTACAGATGTGTGTAAAAATGTTGATTTTTTCAGTTATTGCTATTGATAGAAAAATATTTCATTAAAATCTGTCAGAAAGAAAGTAAAATTGTCGACTTTGATAATATCAATCAAATTGTTCTTATAAAATTATTAGAGGCTATATATAAAAAGTACTGAATTATTTTCTTAATCAAAAGCTGCAATTACAAGATAGAAAGTATTTACTCTAAATTTCAATGGGTAAGCGTAATTCAATTTTTCATTTNAAATACTTGGGCATAATATTAATTATAAAATAATGAGTTTATTTTATTATCTATTTGTTCCATGAATAATACTTAAAAGTAAGATTAGAAATTTTCAGGAGTATTAATAAATTCATTTAAAGTTGCATTTACTTAAAAATGCTATTGATTGAAAAAATCATATATGATAATTTCAATTGTTTTATTTAAAGCAAGCTTTTAATAAATAGCAACAAAATTTGAATTATTTATTTAATTTACTTAGCAGAAATGGCAATCTAATGAGTTTATTTTTATAAATGTATTATTTCGAATTTCATAGAAGGAAATTGAATGTTCGAAGCTAATTAAGCAATATTAATTTATTATTTAAATGCTGAGTATCAAGTTCTGATATTACTTGATCAATCTAAAATTAGCAATGTTCTCTAACTTAGACTTTAAATATAATTCAATGAAGTAATAGATTTCTTGTTAGTAATACACTATAAAATAAAGTCCTGAGTTCAACGTCATGAAATGAGATTTTTATTGTAGATCAAATGTTTTAAAATATTATGAAGATCCGTATATATTAGAGATTGTTATTGATTAATTATTTTCATTAACGCAAATGGCCTAATCAACATTTTCGCATTTTAACCTATTAATGTAATCAACTTAAATTATAGGAAATATTAACTCATATGTATTTGTGATAATAGTTTCTATGGGTCCAAAAGCAAATCTTCTTGGATCAAATAAAATAAATTGCTATAATGAATGATATTTTAATTGCAAAACTTTAGTGGAAGTAGATTTTAGTTACTGGAATCTATTGGTTAGATTTAATTAAATATAGTTTAATTGAGATTGAGTTTAATCAAATTTATAAAAGAGAAGAAGAGGTACCTTTATATTTTTAATAGGCTCGGCAAATTCATTTATTCTACATTTTACAGATGTGTGTAAAAATGTTGATTTTTTCAGTTATTGCTATTGATAGAAAAATATTTCATTAAAATCTGTCAGAAAGAAAGTAAAATTGTCGACTTTGATAATATCAATCAAATTGTTCTTATAAAATTATTAGAGGCTATATATAAAAAGTACTGAATTATTTTCTTAATCAAAAGCTGCAATTACAAGATAGAAAGTATTTACTCTAAATTTCAATGGGTAAGCGTAATTCAATTTTTCATTTTGTACCAATGTTATGGGAATCAATTGGAAATTAACATACAAATAACTAGTTGCAATAATTCCATCTCCTATAGTTTATATCATCACAAATGAATTATTACCTTTATATTATTAATTGAAATAATGAACCGTTTAGTTCTAAAAACTAAAAGTATTTGTAAAATGTTCGCTTTTAAAATTGAAAACTTTATTTGAAAGGTCTACTTCTAAAAAGTCATAATAAAATAATTTCTCTTAAATGCATTACCCATCTGAATTTACTTTATAATTGTATTATTATATAGCCTAATAGTCTTTTTATAGCAAATAACTAACACAGGATTTTAAAACAAATTAATATCCACGAGTTTGTTAAACGATATGAATAACTTCTTCTTTAAATTCGAAGATATTTTTCAAATATGGTCTTTTCAAATTAATTTTGAAAACCTTTCTCTTTTAAGTTTATAACAAAAACATGGCATTTTTAAATATAAAAATGTTTTCTTTTTTGATTTCTTCAAAATTTCCATAACTAAAATTTGTACCTGAGTTGCATTACATTAATATTATCTATAAATTGTTTTAGAGTTAAACAATTTTTATAAGTTATTGATTCGAAATCGAATTAAATTACCATAAATACTTGAATTTTGGATCATTTAAACAATCTTGAACAACATCATATTGTTATTCTTCACAATAAATGGCATCATTTTCTAAAAATTACATCTTTGATGATATATAATTGTCATAGAATGAGTCTGGCTTTAATTAAAATGTAAATTCTTCTTCTTTAATCGGCATGTTGATATTTGCTAAAAATGATCTATTTGTTGAAAAATCATCTATTGTTATTTCCTGTTAAAGAAATTCAGTTTATTTAAATAAATTACTAGAAGCAAAATAAATATGGGTTTAATTTAAATAATCATTGCAATTATATAAGGGAGAATAGTCATTTTTCTTAAACAAAATAAATTGATTATTTCGTTTACCTATAAAAAAAGGTTAAAATGAGATAGTTTGAATTGATTCTAATTAAACCTAGAATATAAAGGTCTCATCTTCTCTGGCAATGCATTCAAGATGTGATTCACTTAATAAGACAATAGAATTGTAAAACATTAGAATTTTTTTAGGTTTTAAGTATTATGTAATTACTATCTTATTTATATCCATTCTTTAAATGCTACTTTTCTATTCATTATTTGATTGCAAAACAATAATTTGCCCAAAAGATTTAATTTCAAAATCTAAAATTCTATTTTCAAAATTTAAATAATTAATCATGTTAGACCCTATAATATGTTAAATAATCTAATGATCAAATTGAAAAAAGTATTGATTATCAACAAATATAATTTTCCTTAATATTAGTTCTTGAACAAAATTTGCTTTATTTGCCATCACTATAAAATGGGGGGTATCATGTTCTTGAAAATCAATCATTTGAATATCCCAATCCAAACAATTCAAAAATATACTTAAGAATTATTAATTTATTTCATTAAATAATACATCAAATTGGCATTCAATCTATTTTTAAAAATCAAAGGATTATACTATCTCAGTGGCTGATTAATTAATTTTGATGATGTTAATTTAATAATTCTCAACTTATTCACAAACAATAATGAACTTTTATTAAATTAGATAATAGGCATTAGTGATCTTGTCACAATTTTCAATATTAAAATTAAACGAATAGATTATTTCCATTTGAACATTATACTCCTTAGAATTAAAAATACTTAACTTTAATTCTTTCATTTACAATAAATAAAGTTTTTCTCTTTGATAAATTTAAATTAATCTATAATCCTAAATGTTTGAGAAAACTAACATCTAATCATCACCCTCTAATAATTCTTCATCAAAAGAAATAATTAATTCTAAGAGTTGTAGATTTTCTTTGAATACATAATCATTATTCTCTTTATTTTTCCAAATTATAGGGAAGAATTACTTTTAACATTCTTAAATCTCGTTTTTATGGCAAAATATCTTTTATGAATCACAGCTCATTTCAGGCAACATTAGTAGTGTAAGAAAATAAGGAACGATAAATTAGAGAATAATCAATTTCATTTATTATTTTAAATATAAATAATCAACATCGTAATAAATTGTATATCTATTAATAATGATTTATACTTTCAAAATATTTAAGTATTATTACATAATTGAATTTCCCTATTAAATGTATTTGCTTTCAATAATTTTAATTTTAATCAAAGAAGGATATACTTTGTATATAATTTTTATTAAATAATTCAGTATTTCTGTTTATTGTTAGAAATTAACTTTATTTTGAACTCTACCTGATTGTGAAAAATAAGTTATAAACAATAATGTCTAAGTTGCATTTTTTATAGAAAATTTTAATTAAAAAAAAATAAATATGAAATTCCTTAGGGATATTAAATTAAATTTATAGTAAATTTGGTTAACAATATGAATCTTAAAATTAAAGTGATTTAATTTACAACTTATTCAATTTGGATGGTAAAATTCCAATAAATAATAAATTACAATATGCTATAAACATTTAATCATTACTAAACAAAGGAAAACTAATAAACTACTGAAATTTTCAAAAAATTGAAATTTAATAATAAATATGTATATTTATAATTAAAAATAGTTCGTTCTATGGGCATTTTAAATTTTCCAAACCTAAATAATTGAAAACATAATTCCCCAACAATCTATATTAATTTAGAATAAAATTGACAAAAGAAATGAAAATTATTTAAAAACTAATTTTTAATCTCTCAATAAAATCTCAAGCACAAACAGTTGTCCAGGTCTTGTAAGCCAAAATACATTATGCTCTCTTTTTGTCACTTTATGCTAGATTATAGTTAACGTGAGCTATAAAATAATTTTATCCTTTTCCATTAGATGGAAGAGTAGATGGCGTATAAGTTCCTGTATGTGTACATATTCTTGAAGCAAGAGTACAAGTAAAGGAAACAAGAGTGTCTGTGATAGTTTAGGTGTCATCACTAATTGAATATAATCTAAGTTAAGTTTAATCGATAGTTAGAGTGGTATCTGACCAATAATAGGTAAATTTAAGCGAAACAAATAAATTATCATAGTTATCTTCTTTGCTTACATATGCTACAGTGCTTCCTAGAAATGGACGAATACAAACAACATCAGTATAAGCTTTAATAATTCCAAATTGTTCTGGTGCATATGAATAAACCATCACATAGCCTTTATCAGCATAGTTATAGCCACTCCAATCAATGGTCAAAGTGTGCAATTGACCTGACATCTTGAGAGAGTTTCTAAAATAAGGAATGATGGCAAAGTTGATAAAATAATAGTTGGTTTGATAATAATTGGGTTAAAATGTCGTCATTCTAGTTAGAGCAACAAGTGCTAAACTCCAAATCTAAGGCAGAATAGCACTTCTTAAAGCAAGGGTAGACCTATGTATGACGGTCCAGTCCCTGAGTAATTATAGGGATTGGTAGACTGTTCTCTCTAAGTAGAAGGGGTGAGATCTTGATTACTAAAGTAGAACATCTCGAGTTGCTGGTTCTAAATATTTATTTAAGATGGCAAGAAGTTTGCTTTGAAAATTGTCCTCACTTGTTTCCTAAGAAACTAACCAAGGGTTGATTGTATACAATTTAAACATTTCTTTGACACTGGTAGCAACATTCAAAGATGCCATAGGAATTGGAGTGGCATCATTGGTTGAATCGACAGACCCATCAAAATTCATGGTGAATCTTACGAAGGCATAATTCAGTTTTCCAAGATTCTTATCACAGCAAACATTATCATATTAAAGACTAAATGTCTCCAAGGAATCACATTCTGTATTTGCACCGCCAGTTTATAATGATCCTCCTGTTCGACAGGCTGCTACTTCATCAATAAGATAGCAAGGTAAGGTTACACAAGCAGGAGTAGCGAGAGTGCTAATTTAATACTGTCACAATTTACCTATCCCAAAAGCACCAGCCTTTACCAGCAAGCTCATCAGCCCCACAAGTTACCGATGTTAATGCTGAACATAAATTTTATCCGACATATGTTTAGGCATACGTAGTTATTAAGAAGACAAAAATTAATGAGATCATAATTTTATTAATTCATTTCTATATATAAAAAATAAATTAAGAATCTGTTAAAGGTGACGGGAGGGTGAATTTACAAGTTCTTTCTACATCATCGCATATTGTTGATGTTATTGAAGAGGAAATTGTATGAGGAACCTATGATTTATCATTGATGAAGTGTAATTGTCTTGGAGTATTAGCCATGGTTCCTGATGTTTGGGTGTAGACTATTTCCATATTTTCAATATTAACAAAAGTGGATCCATCTGAAGCAATTACATTCACATAAACAACATCTGTTAAAGCATCATTTATGCCAAAGAATTTCGGAGTGTAAGATATTGCCTACACGAAACCATTCCTTTCATATTTGACCCAAGTCAAAGAAGTGGTGTGGTCTTGTCCCTCAATAGAAATATATAATCTGGAGAATGTTGTTTAAGCAAAATTCAAAAAGTAGTAGTTTGTTTGATAATGCTTGCTGTAAGTGGCCATCTTCTTCTAATACACCTATGCAACACCCCAGAACTTTGTTAATGTATTTTATTTTTCAGCGGTACTTAAAGTAGTGGTGTCATCTCTTAAATTTTGCAAGGTTTAGAATAAGCACTTCTCCAAATAAAAGGGGTGCACTGTAATATTAAGAAAGGCACTCTCATATTCTTTATATAAATCCAATATATCTTATAATTCTTTATTTTGAGCCATTTGAATATTCACAGTCAGAATTTGATAGAGAAAGTTCATTTGTGGCTTGGCAATCTTTAACTAAGCCACTGTCAACCCAGAAATTGAGTATGTTGGATACCCAGTAGTCATTTTTGGGTATCTAACATAATTAAAGTCTACAGTATTGCTTGTCCCACACACATTCTTATATTCAATGCTCACCAAATCCAGAGGCACACATAGATTCTAATATTTCCCATTCGCTCGACAAGCCCCTATCTCATCAACCCTGTAGCAATCTTAAGCTTAAGTGTAAAGTCCACAAGACCCCCCATTCCATTTACAATACCCAGAGTTTAAGCAATCGCTTTCTGAAGTATAAACGTTACATTCTTCTGTTCCAGGAGTCGTCGCACTATAAACATAGCCTACTAAAAGCAAAATCAATATCATAAAGAAATTATATTTATAAATTCAAGGTTTGTTATTCAGACAGCTTGAGCATGCCCATACTCGTTGAGACTATTAAAATAAAAATCAATTTGAACTACACCTCCAACTTGTATTAAATGCACAATATTTAATACTGCCCCTATTAACAATTTGTTGATTTCTATTAATAGATACATTTTGTAAGTAATTTTTGCCTTTTTATATACTTTTTAATTGAATATACTTAGAAAAGAAAATATAATATAGATCCCCTAGTCAAAAAGCATCGAATGCACAAAAACTCACATCCTTCTAATCTATAATTTGATATCAATTTTTAGTATTAATACTATTCTAGAATAATTAGTCTTTTTCTAATTTTTTATTCTTTAGAATATGTTATCTAATTTATAATGTTTCTTTTGTAGATATAAAATAGTAATAATATCTATTAAAGCGAACTAAAAATATCAACATTATGCATTCTCCCTTATGAATAACCTAAAATATTAATCTAAATTACTATAATAGATTTGACTGCATTTTCTAAGCTATTCAAAATCTTTACCAAGTTAAGCATGTACATAAATAGTTTATAGTTTTAACTTACAATTTATATTGAATCCATATTATTCACAAAATTAAGTGGGCATTCAATTGGTATTCTATATTCACATCACATTTAAACAAATAGGTTTTCCTTTGTATTCAATGAAAATAAATCTATAATCAAAGCTATTGTAAATTGGACATAATTTTAAAGTAATTTGATCTTCTTAATTTTTGGCTTCTCTTGTAGAATTTATCATTTATAGAAGTGTATTAGATAAAACAATAATTAACATAATCAACATAAAGGTAAAATTCATTTAACTATATTTTCAAATTGGTTGCTCGGAAAGTTGTTCTATCGAATTTTGTTGAGATTAAATCTTTTTTTGGTAGTTGAATTTGTAATTTGTGATCCAGCCTAAGATTACTAAGATGGCAATCTTGGAGACCAAAACTAAGAATGTTAATGAGGTTTTTCGGGAGATTTCATTTATGATAAGAGAATGCTTCTACCCATATCCTAAAGCGGCAATTCAGAAGCAGATACTCCCCTCTTTCTATCGTCGGTTTGATTCTTTGGTCTAGTAATACTAACAGTCAGCCTTGTGTATCGATCTTGACTAACACAAATAAATAGAATGTAATACATTGTAGACTAAACATCATTATCGGCAAGGTTAAAGATTTATTAGACATTGCCAATAGAGAATTGCCTCTACTTTGAAAATGGTTTTTTCCATTCAGATTGTCGAACTTGTTCTATGAATCCATTAATGGTTTGTCTTTGATTTAAGGAAGATTGCTAAGAATTGGTAGGATTGTTATCAGTTGGAACAGTATCCCTTTATTATTTCTCTAATTGAACTCTGCATCTTTAGCATCCCTTCATGTAACCTAATCTGTATTATTCATGGGCCTTCTTTAGGTTTTTCTCCACTTGAACTCCCTTTTCGTAAACCTTTCCTCTCATGTAATAGGTAATAGTCCAATCCTTATTATTTTCTTCAATTTGATCAAGCAAGGAGAAGAAATCATCAATCGCCAATTCATTTTTAGCTAAGGCTTAAAATCTCAAACTGAGCAACTTCTAAGCACATTTGAGATCCCCCTTCAAACATCCCTATTCAAAAATCAAATCAGCCATCACTTAATTCGATTCAACCTCATCTTGTAATCCCTATTGCAGCAGTAATCCTAAATCATAAAAGGCAGGTAGATAATCCTGATTTTTGGCCTGATTCAAAAGTGGTTATATTAATTAGCTTCTATTCTAAAAGGTTTAAATTAATAACTTACTTTGTATAGTGGTTATTTGCACATGGTTTGATAAAGAAGAGCCAACTTGTGCATCGCTTGAGTAGAATTCTTATTTTTGGCCTACTTGTAATAGAATTCAGCATTTGAGTAATCCTTCTCTAAGGTATCTAATGAATTATTATTAATATTCTACATTCCTATAATTGAAGACCATTGCTGTAAAGATCTCCCAAATAGATCATGGATTACAAGTGGTCTAATTCTGCAGCCCTTTTAAGGAGAGTCAAGGCAAAATTGCAATCATAATTCCGATTATATGCATCACTGCTGGCTATGGTGTGATTGCTTTCCTTATCAGAGAACTTGTCAAATACTTTTCCTTCCTTAAATAATTAATGCCATAAAATACCAAAACCAATTTGGATGTGTGATACAAACTGAATGTGTTTCTTTAATCTGCACTCTTTTTAAAGTAACTGAAAGCCTAGAATTTTCTAATAATTTGAATGTACCTAATCATAATCTTTTGGGCCTGTAATTCCTTCTAAACAAATTTATCCCATTATTGCTTATGCTGTTGCATTACTTTCCTCTGCCAATTTGGTGTACAATTGCAGAGCTGCTATTTAGTCCTTCTCTCTGCCAAGTCCTGCAAATAATTCATGGGCATTTCTTAATCTATGATCAACTTGAGGGGGTGGGGACTTTGAAGTCTAAAGAGAGGCAGCTTAATATTTTTGCGAGAGCCTTTGTGAGGTCTATTTAAAATCAAACCTCTGGATCAAAGTATCCAACCATTGATCCAAAAACTATGAAATTTCAGAAGATATAGTTTCCTTATTTATAGGTATAGTTCTATTTTCTAGAGTTGGTAATTATTCCCAAAAGAAACCCAATTAATCCAATTATCTGATATATTTATCGTATTGTTTAAATGAGGCATCTTTGCCGCATAATTGAACTTTATCAACCTACTAACAAGCCTCGAAGGCCTCTTAAATTGTACGTATCGTATCTCTTGCTAAATAGTGCAATTGTTAATTGATTTTAATACTAACCTTGTATTATTGTGTGCTGTAACTTTTCAGGATTTGAGACATTTTAGTGAAAACCTAATTAGAAAAGGCCTTTCTAGGTTAATCAATATTGGAACTCATTGAGACCTATGACTTCATGTCAGCTAAAATATATATTTCATTCTACATATCTATTAATGAGCAATGACGTATTTGAACCCATCGTAGAATTGCTAATCTCCCTCAATTGGCTGCTATCAATAACAACAAACATACCTAGTTTGAGTTCGACATTAAAAGTTGCACTTGTTCTATAATCTTTTGCAGTAACTTGTCTTTATGCAGAAGCATTTTCTCATCCCCAATTTCCGTAGATAACCGAGAAGAATGAATAAATTGTTATTAATTCATATTTTAACTTTTTTTTTATAATAGTCCAAATATTTGATTTTCTTTTCTGATTGCGTATTACACAATCTAAAATTCTACCAGTACTCCTCTAATTTTACTTCAAGTCCAACTTTACCTATTTACCCAAGTCATCCCTAGCATCCTCTTTTATTATAATCACCTATTGTAGTGGATCTCCTATTTGATTGAATATCTATTGACAGTAGTACTTATTATACACATCATTTAAAATATATCGCAAATCTATCCCAAAAATAGGTTTAGTGTAATTAATCTTCTGGTAATTTATTTTATCGCCAACTGTGAAGAATCAAATTTTATTAATTATGATAACTGAACCAAATGATATTCGCATATCGTTAACCATTAATGAATATGTTAAATTATTTTAGTGGTTTATTGAATATTATTTTTTGTATAAAATTAACTACTAAATTTGAATCATAACAGCAAAATTCTAGAGTATATTGTGGTTAGTTGTAATTTATTTATTCTACTTTAAGTGTCTATTCCTCCAAAGGGAAGAAAAAATTAATGTAATATTTCAAAAAAAAACATAGTTTTCCAATTTAAAATAACTTGTATTTTTGATGTATCATTTAATAACTATAAAATATATATAAGCATCTTAGGTTTAAGATGTAAAATAAGAGGAAGATCTCTTAAATATATACAATTTTCAAAGAGATTTTTACTTCTTTTAATACATTTTTAAGACAGGAATATTATGAAGCGAGTAATTCTACTAAAGAATACTTCTTAGGATTATCATAAATAATCTATCGAGTTTTTTTGTGGATAATTACAACTGTTTGATGTTGAATTTTGACAAAATTAAACTGAAGAAAAAACTAAAAAAAAATGAATAATTGAAAATTTAATATAGTATTACTCATACTCATAATTTAAATTACATTTTCAGTCTATCAAACATAAAGTTATCTTAAATTAAAAAAAAAATATTCCTAGAATGTGCTCATACTTTAAAATCTATTATTGATGATTCTCTCTTATAGGATGATAATTAAATTTATTAGATTCTTAGACATTGAATTATATTTTCGAATTTTTCAATTACAAAACGCTATTGGGATGAGTGTATATTAATAATTAATCATCATTATTCAATTATGTACTTATATCTGATTGTTAATAACATTATTACAAACACTGCAATTGAATAATTGAGAGGAACCATTAGCATTCATATAACTAGATTATAATTTTATTAACTAATATTATATTATGTATATACAATCAATAAATAATTCAAATAATTCATTATTATATTAAATAGGTCTTGTTATAACAAATAAATAAAAAGTAATCATAATGAGATAGGTGATTCCTCTCTCTCTTTTCATTCATTTATATAATCTTATAACCTCTCAATACTATTACGTATGTAAAATTAATGATATATTTTAATTATTATATTATTAATGTACAAACTCATAACTTTGGCATTGATTATTTCATCTGTATTTGCCGTTCAAAAGGATACTAAAACTATTTTGGCTGAAATAGACGCTGACAACTTTGGTAATACTATCCTCTCAACTGTCCAAATGTATTTACAATCAAAAGGAAATGCTGAAGAAATCTTAGTATTACTTAATCAAGTCTTGGCTGGATTGGTCGACGATTAAAACAAACATGACAACGTTATTAGAGTTGACAGAGCAGCATGCACTCGTATTGTTACAGATTTAGAAAACTCTATTGCTTATCATACAGCTTAAGTAGCTGCAAATGCTTAGATGAGAGAGGATAACGAAAAGGCTTTGGCTGAAGCTGAAAATGATGTCAGATAAACTATCTAAGTAATAAGATAATATAATGAAAGGACATTGAAAGCAATGAAAGAACCTTTGCATAAGAGGAAGCCAACAGAAATAAGGCTCATGAAACTTGGGTTAGAAAGAATGGAGAACATGATGATGCCATTGCAGCTGTTGATGAAGCAACCAAATTAGTCTAACATCTTTCTTTGGGAGCCACATTTGCTGAACTCAAACCAAAATTTGAAGCTGTATAAAAGAGATTGATTGAAAATGAAAGCCACGGTGCTCTCTTTTAACCCATTGTCACAGCCTTGACTGAATTAGCTACAAAGGTTGATTAAAAGGCAATCCAAAGAATTCTTTAATTGCTTTCACAACTCAGATAACAATTGATAGAAGCTAGATCTGTTTTAGAAGTAATGAGATGTCATAATCGTAGGATACCGAAAACAGATAAGCTTAAAGATGGGTTGAATTTTCCACTCATTTGAGCAATGAGCACAATAGATTGGTTGATAGAAAGAATCAATTGGAATAGGCAATTCAAACCTTCAAGACCAATATTGATACTGCCGCTCATTTCTATGAAGTTCATCAAGTATGAGGATCACATATTAAATTCTAGTTGGAATTAGAACAGGCTCAAGAAACCTTGGATGCTGAACATGAATGGTGCGACCTCCAAGAGAACACCTACAGTGTGTAATCTTCTGAGAGAACAAGACAATAGGAGATTGTGGAGAGAATATTAGAACACTTGACTGAGAAATTAACTGCAACATCCCAATACCTTGGTGGCAGATTCTGAGATTAATACAAAAATATTAAATATAAATATGGGACAACAATAAACTTAGGAACAAAGACCATTAAATGTGCTAGTCAAAGATGTGGCTACATTTAATCTGTTGACTAAGTATTCAAATGTTGTAATTCAAGATCTCCAACAATTAAATAATGCTTGGGTAAATAATTGCTGGCAGAAGTAACTAAAAAGAAATAAGATTTATTTGAATCTTTTCCCTTTTTTAAAAAGTAAGATGAATTATGGATTGGAGTATTTGTGGACAAGGAATATTTTGTGATTACTTAGCAGAAATTCTAATATTGTAGACAATTATTGGAGGATTTGTAATCAATTTTAATGTTTGATTTTTAAAAAGAAGAAGGCACTTGTCAAATATGTTTTGCAAAAAAGATCGATAAATTATTACCTTGTGGACATAGTTATTGTTAAGATTGTATTGATGGATGGTTCACGACCAAAGAACAAGATTCCTGTCCAATGTGTAGATCTCAAATAACCAAATCAAAAATGAAGAATGAATCCTATATTATACCAAATGAGACAGAACTGATAGATTCCTTTAAAGAGTAGCTCTTTATGCAATTCACTGAGTAGAAATGAAATGAATTAATTAATATTTTTTTAATTATATTATGGATTTCGAGCATTCTGACTAATTTACTTAGAGAGTAGAACAAATAATAAGGAATGTAATATATGCATCTTGACTACATGTAGTTCTTACATATTCCAGAAGAGGACAATCCGAATTGGAAGGAGATTGGTTAAAAATTGGATCAATTTTAAAGTTAGTTGGTTGAAGTATAATTGTATGAAATGATTACCTATTAAAAGGAGCATCCTCCAATACATAAAGTCGAGTTTTGAAGCCATCCTAGAGCAATTATAATGTGATTTAGGAGGACCTTAAATATAGAGTCTATCAACCAGTTCACTTAATCAATAAAACCATCCTCTGAAGACTGATGACTTGAAGGTGAATGAGAGAATAAATCAAATTGGGTTGAATGTGTACGAGTTTGAGAAAAACTTAGACATGAAAATTGATTAGCTCAGTGTCAAGGTAGAGAGCATAAAGATAGACAGGGAAGAATTGCAAGAGCAGATTAAATCTATTGATGGTATTCTTATAAAGTTTATCGAAGCTCGTATGGAATCGCAATGGCAAGGGCTGGCCAATGTCTCTGATCAGTTTTGGCAATTCAAGAAGCAATTTGAGCCTCTTTTATTGGGGACGCAACAACAGAAAAAAAAGTTCTCGCTATTTACATGAGGATTTATTTATTTATATTATTAATAATGTACTATATTGATTAAATTGTTTGCTCATTAACCGATTAAGGCAGATGCAGTCTTTGATACACTATATGTTTAGAGATTTATGTTTACTATTTCCAATTGGATGGCAATTTTTGGGTTCTTCTATAATATCTGCTGAGTCTATGAATTCTGCTTTCAACCAAAATCAATCTGAATTTGCTTGTAATATCTCCTCTGTTCTTTTCTAAATGCTTTCTGATTTGGACAGCCTTTTTGATCAAAGCATATAAGTCTTCAGGGATTTTTGGTGCACAACCTTGATTAAATAGCTTATAGTTACCTCTCTTCTTCAAGATTCTCAAGATCTTTTGACCAGTCAAGAATCTGGTTTATGGGATTCCTTATTGATCTCTCAAGTAAACACCAATTTATGATCCATTAAGTCCTGAATTTACATTATTCTTGTACCCTTCTTTGCCAAATTTACAATCTAATCAACGATGGACTTTGATGAGAGTGTCAACCACTTTGGTGCTTTTCTCTTGTATGGAAGGGCTGATCCGGAGATACCCTTTCCTTTTCCCTTAGCTTGCATACGTCCCATAATTTATTTAAAGATTTAATTTTATTTTAAATTTTATCCATTAAATGATTAAAATCACTCATGCTTGTAGAATACCTTGGGCTTCTCGATGGAATTGCTTTTACAATTAATAATTTCATACATTCCGTGATGCCATAAAGAGGGTTCGAAATTGTTATCGTCATCAATGAAGAAGAATTTCTTATCCAACTCAGGCACATCAAACTTATTTTCCCAAATTGGGGCACCGTCCAATAATTAGCCAATCTCAGATTATGTGCTTCTTTGATAAAAGGACCCTGCCGCAATTCTTAAATTATTCACTCTCCATACCTTGTTCCAAAGAACGTAGCTCCCACTATTGCAGCCTTGAAATAAATAGCCAATTTCTTGGCAGCAGGAATCCTGTTAACTGCTTCCAAACTCAAATAGGTGGAAATCAATGTTGCCTTATTTTGGAAACTGCCAACTCCATTAACAATATCCAACACCTTCTAATGGGTCTAAGTCGGCACCAATGAAGTATGAGTCCACCAAGTCTTGTTCTAAGAGTTAAGACTAATATACATTTTATTTAATATTAATATTGTATTGTTTTGTAAAAGTATTCATGTAAATTCTTTTGGTTAATTGTTAATCGTTTAGAATGCATTCTAGATACAAGATTATCTTAATTTGGAGATTAAGTCCCTTAATGAAATGATATCAATTAATTATTAAGAATGCCAATATTTCATCGTTTCTGGATTGAATATACTCCTATATAACAATCCTGATGATTTAATAATTAGATTCAAACATATAGTTCATGTATACAATTGTAATATGGAAATACAATTATGTAAGTGTCAGAAAGTGAATTAATTTTGATTGAAAAAATCTAAATGATATAACTATCATCCATTATGAGAGTGAAATTAATAAAATAGAATATAATAAAGGAAGGAATGAGGAATGCAGAAATCATAAAAGAAAACGAATCCATAATCTTATGTATAATAGAATTAATCAATAAGAATGATATTGCTATCTCAGTATGTTTGTTCATTTTTTTATTGAGCCATTACTGTTCCATCAGAAATTTCAAAATAATTAGAACTTATCTAACATCTAAACAATTCAAAGAATCATTTTAATTAAAAGAGTACAGGAAGATATCTGTATTTAGATTTAATTCACTTTTTAAAGGATATTATAAGTACGAATTGATGGATCTGTTATAGTTTCTAGAGATTTATAAATGCAGACTTCGTTAGGAATATAGTCTTGGTCAGAGGATGATCGAGATAGTGATGGAGAGTATATTGATTATAGTGATAGTGATTTAATTAATATGAATAAAAACGGTATTTGTAGTAATAATAAAATAAATAATGAAGAGTGTAACAGGAGTGCTAGTGATTTTACTGTTGAGCCAAGGTGTTTTGTGCAGTCCAAAGAAGATCAACACAGATTTTTTGAATTTGCTTAGTTCTAAGACAAATGTGATGAGCTCCTAGGATGCCATATAATCAGTTTTAACACTCTTGGAGGATTTACAGGGTGCCAATGTTGAAGCCTAAGACAAGGCCGATCTCACCTTCTAGAGATTTGAGAATGCTATCTTATCTGATATCAATGAGTTCTCAGGAATTGTGAATGTTAACTCAAAGAGTGCTGCAGCTGCCTCACAAGACCTCGAAGCTGTTGAGTAATTCTTTATTTAACTTAATCAAGTTTGAAAATTCAACAAACCACAGATTACTTGAATTGGAATAATAAGAGATACAAGGCAAACGAACTCAAATTAGAGAATTTGGCTGAGTAACCACATATTCTTTACACTCTAGGTAACGTTGTGAAGCCAATGCTTTGTTCATTGACACCCTTAGGGAGTACAAAAATGCACTTTCAGTCCTGGATTGGGTGAGAAGTGATGCTCAAAGCAAATAAACTAATTTGATTGAAAAGAGTCACGTTGGAGATTACGCTGAGAAATTGAGCAAGTATGCCAATCTCTTTGAAGAACAAGCAGTCTAAGACTTTGTGAAATTAGGAGATGATGAAACATCATTCTCCCAATCCAGTATAATCTGATCATTCATTCAATAGGACAGAGAGGAAATGGTGAATAGTTGGTGTAATTGATGACAAAGGATGTGGTTGGTGTAATTTAGTAATTGATTGATAAATTGAGAGAAACAATCAAGGGATTGGAGGAGTAGGAAATTCAATCTGCCAACGATTTCGCTGATTTCAAGACCAATCTCTTGGCTGAATAGGAATCTTTGAAACAAGAGTATGATGCAAAGGCCAAGTTCTTGAATTCCCTATAAAATGACAAAGAATTAGCTTCTGATATTTTAACCAAAAAGAAGGAGTTATAAGATTAGAGCATGAGAATTCTCAGTTTGACTCAAGGTATCACATGCATTTACAGATTAGAGGAATACAATTACAAGAAGAAGTTGTATAATGCAGAGAAGGAAAAGAGACACGAGGAGAATCAATTGTTGGAGGAGTCCTTGTTGATTTACAGAGAGAAGATTGCAACTGTCAATGAGTATCTCAAGAAACGAGTAAATGAATATGTTGGTGATTCTTTGATTGAAGAACATGCCGTCACTAAATAGTAACCAGTTTCAACAAGAAAAGGATAATGAAACAATATTCAAAAAATACAAATTAATATTAACTAATCATATATATATATATATATTATAGATTTCATTTTTTGTCAGGTGATTGTTAGAGTCTTCTCTATGAGTTTTTTTGAGTTTATTGATGTTATAATTTTGAGAGTTCGGCATCATATTGATACCCATCAAATAGTGCTATTGAAATATTGCCATACTATATTACCTTGGACAGTATCTCTACGTAACATCACTTGATTTTCGAGTAATTACTCGTCATTCAATTGAGTCTCTTCTGATATCTAATTTTGGAAATCAAAATTGTTGTCGACAGACTACTTTAGATAAATCAAATTACTCCTGGAGTGTAAAGAGCTGTCAATTTCTTTTTTAAGAGATCATCCCATGGAAATCCTTTGAGCCAAGGGTGATGAAGAATCTCTTCAATGCCATTGGCTCCCAATCTTCTCTCCGGTTTCCGTTATATTAACTGCATATGATTGAATCTATACTGTATTAACGAAATCCATAGCACTTTCACTCCAATAATTAGGCATTTCTTCTCTCCTTACTTAGACTTATTTAGCCAAGATCTATTCACGAATGTCTTGTCTGGTTCTACCATTATATGGTCTACGTCCAAGCATCAATTCATATGTAATAACACCTAATGCATAATAGTCTGCCACAATGGAGTGATCCATTCTGCACATGACTTCAGGTGCCATATATCCTGGAGTACCAGAAGTATCTCCAGCATTATTCCCCTTGTTTATGCGTGCAATTCCAAGGTCAGTCAATCTCATGTATCCATCTTCTTCCAGTACTAGATTCTCTGGCTTTAGATCTCGATGGATGATGCCATGTTGATGTAGATATGTAAGGGAGAGTAGAATACAGGCAACAAAGAATTCTAATCAACTTAAATGAGCAATAAGTACTTGTTTGAGCTTCACTGAATCGTCTCATCTTGCCTAAATGGAAACGCAAATCACCTCCTGTCAGGAGATCGATGATAAGGTAGAGATTCTCTCTGTCTTGGAATGCATATGACATATTAACAAGGAAGGGGTGATGAAGATGTTCCAACAGGTATTTCTCATTTAGTACAGAATTCACACTGCGTTTCTGAATGATCTTTGCCTTTGCCATTTCCTTGAGAGCGTACATCTTTTTATTCTTCTTCATTTCTACTTTCCACACTCTACCAAATCCTCCCTTGCCAATCACGTAAAGAAATTTAAAATGTTAACGTCCCACTATCTCTGGGGGAAGATTCTCCACCTATTGGGCTACCAATTGAGTTTTGTCATTCAACTCTGATTTGCGACTATGAGATGGCTTGTCTTTCTTGGGAGAATTTGGAGCTGATTCAGATATTGAGTTCAATATCTGTTCAGATCGAGATTGCGAATTGATTGAATTTGCTGAATTCGCAGAATTGTATTTGCTAGCCAATTTCAATTTAAATGACATCTATGTGCTACTCAACATACTTTTGCTCTCCACTTTTTTTGGTACTACCTTACTTTTCAATTGATAACTATGTTCATACACTTACGAATTGCTGACATTGCTCTTGTGATAGATGATGTTGTCTGGATACAGTGGTTTCTTGGCAGATGGTTGTCTATTCATTAAGATTTGACTTTGTTTCTCCCTGTTCGGTGATTGATGGGCTGATATTGAACTTCCAACCTTGATGTCTCTTCGTGAATCCTATTGTCTGATCATGGGACTCTGATTCACCTTCTTACGAGCACATATTGCACAATGCTTCTGATTGCATTAGCATTCCCAAGTGCTTGACTGTTTTCTAAGTGGGACTTTAATTGGTTCACCCTTGAAATGTATCTTAGAATTCAATTATTGTTTAATGAGCAAGTCCCTCAGATTTTTGGCAGTAGATTGTTACATATATTTATTTCGTTAATTATTTTTTTTTCATCAAAACTACTATTTATTATTGGTGTTCTCAAATTGTCTCGCTCTCTCTGACACCCTCTGATATACATGCTTATATGCAAAATTAATCATTCTCAAATCAATATTATAACTAATTTTTATTTAATGGGCTTGCGAAAATCCAAGGTCATCAAGAAGATTAAAATGGATATGCAATAACAAGCACTCAGCAAGGCTCCAACCACTCAGCAAAAGGTGACCATCAAGAAAGCAGAGAAAAGATCAGATGCACTCAAAAGCACCAATTCTCAATTTAGAAAACATCAATACATTACAGAAAAGAAGGTTCAATTGGATTCATCCAAAATATAATCTGTGATCGAATCATTAAACAAGTACTACCACACTAATAATGATGGTGATCGCAAAATTTATTTAATTGCTGAATTACAATAAATACCAGAATTAAGTGAAGCACCCATAATTTAAATGTAACCATTTTTTCTATTCAGTCCTCTTAAAGAAGCCATACACGTAAAAGTAGGATTCGTAGTTCATGGTAATATACTAGAAGATTTCTAAAAAAAATACCCACAATATAATGTTATGAGTCAAAATGCCTTCATAGCTGGCAAATCTTTTCCCAACCTTGATTTGATCCTCATTGACTACACACTCTATAATAAGATCATAGAAAAGAAACCAAGCAAGTAATTAATCTATTTAGTTCTTAGAAAAATATACCCTTTCCATCCATCCAAAGTGCCTTTTGATTACAAGAAACATTACAATATAGGCGAATATTAGGAATACATTAATCATTTGATTGGAAGTACTTTCAGCGTAATGAAAAACCAAGTGAAATAAATAATTCCCATTGGGAAAGTTGGTCAGAGTGGGGCAATCGATAATGTATTGAAGGGAGCAATAGATTTTATTGCTAAATTACTTACTCAGAGTAAGGGGAACAACGTAGAACACTTATATTTGAAAACTAGCAAATCGATTGAGTTATTAATATATTGAATGTTTAAATAATGAGTATAAATAATGAGTTTGAATAAAATGAGTATTGGGTGTTAATTTGTACATGTAATAATGTTGATCATGACTCAATTGATGTTAAGCTTAGTTCTTCTCCAGTGTCTTCTCTTTGAATTATATCTAAACATTGCAATTTCAATTACCTGATTGTGTTGTCAGTTCTATATCTGAACCAATTTGGTAATGGTCTATTTTATTTATTGGCTTTAATTAATCTTTTCTTCATTCTCAACGATTTGTGAGCTCCCTATTAAACAATAAGTGTAAGCTATTACCATTTTTAAATCTTTTTTAATTTATTTAATATATGAATCAAATAATCAATTAAACTCAGTCAGCAACGATACCAAATGTTCTTCCGGTTGATGAGCACCCTATTGCTTCACAAAGTCAAACAACCAGTCCTCAGGGAATTGGATGAACATCTAGGATAGCTTTTTGGCCTTCTACGTGATGATAACCGTCTCTTAATCCTTTTGGTTCAAAAGATTATAGTGATTTAATCGTTCATCAATGATTTAAACGATAGTTTACTTTAATTTCTCATCCTACCTATAATCGATCACTTGTTTTTAGGGCACTTTGCTATTTTGCTCTACCAACTACTTATTGTTATTGGGTTGATCTTGATAATTGGATTTGTCCAAAATAATTTAACTCTGATTTAGTAAATCCATGGAATTTCTAAGTTGATTTTCATCATTTAAATTCTCAACAACAAGCAATTTGATAGTTGGCCATTTCATTTATTAATACATTTTCTTCAGGAACGTTAGTGCGAGATCACAATTGATTTCCTCAATTCCATCAGGTTCACCTAGGGAATATGTTAAATTTCTACTTGGATTGATAATGGTGAATAAATGAACTTCCTTGAGTGCAGGATAGAGGGTCTTGATAGTCTCGACGATTTCTTAAAAAGTCCTGACCTTTTGAGGTAATTTATGGACTTTTCTTTGATACACGATTTTAATATTAGACATTTTCTTTTATTATTATTTTATATCTAATTTTTCATTAATATACACTCTTTTACTAATAATAGATACAATGCATTTTTTAATTGCATTTCGCACTCTCCATTCCTACAAATAGAAGATCACTCAGATATTTAAAACATAATTATAAATTATTAATGAAATAAGTGCCATCAACAAGTGAGTATTCTATATTACGAAAAGTTCAAAACCTCCACACTCACACACAACCCAAAGAATCCAATTTCACATTGGGACGCACTACTAGTTATGAGTCTGGTCAATTTTGCAAGAGTTTCGACATTATGGCATTTCGGAGAGCCTCCACTAAAGAAGATATTAACAACACTCTACAAGGAAAGAACTAAGCGAGTACCTTAGAAACACATGCGATCAGTAATCTCAATTCAATTAAGTAATTCGAATTGCCAATTATATTAGTCCTTCTTCTCACATTGAGATGGATCAATTGCAGACTAAAGTGTGGAAATCCCTGCAGAAACAGTCATTGGTATTTGAATGTAATATTATCTAGTAAAAGGTGTATATGATCGACATTATTGTTTTATTGCAAAACCAAAATGAATACGAATTTAAATTTGACATAAGCAAGCTTTCGTGTTTTCTCATGGTCAAAGACTTGTCTAACTTAATTTCACAAGCCTACTGGGATAAAATGAACAAATCTCATTTGAAATTTGCTCTTCCTTATTTATCTATCTTAGTGGGTAAAGTGAAAACCCAGAAACTCGATGGCAACATGAGACTCTTTGAACTAGTACACATATTGTTGAACGGTCAAAAGACTCTTATTTTATCAGAATCAACTCAACAAATTTGATTCTTATAAATAGTTTTTGTACTTGATTATTATCTATAATTATTGATTATGAGATTTTTGTTATGCAATATTTAAATTATTAAAAATCACCCTATGTAATAATCTATTCACTAATAAAAAATAGTCGAATATACTAATCAAGGTACAACTTCATTTGCACATTAGGTGAATATGTTTAATTGGAAGATTATATACGAGTAAATCAAACAGTGTAGATGAATTTTTCATAAGCCTTAGTAGAATGCATCCAATATACGAGGGATAGTGAAGAACACTTGCAATGCATTCAATAAATTCTGAAGTAACACTTTTCCAAAAATATCAAGACAATAAATTGATTTCAATTTTAAAGATAATCAAGGGAACACTGCCTTGATCTAGGCAGCAAAAAGCGGCAAAATCAGTATATTGAATGAAATCATTAAATACAAAGAAAAGTTTGAGAAAAAATAATTTAAGCTCGCACTTGATATTGCAATACAATCAGAATAAGATAATTGGGATATCGTAGAGACTTTGCTTCAATTAACTTCACTGGAAAAGCCTCAACATCTGATCAAATCTATGCGCAAAGGCAATTTTAAAACTGCTCAAAAGATCATTGAATAATATGGGGCTTCTGGATAGGATGAAAATGGAGACACGGCCTTACATGTAGCTTCTCGACTGGGCAATCTATAAATTATTAAAAGCATATGTCAAAAAGAAAATCTCTATAAAAAAAAAAATTTATTGCACCAAACACCATTAGATGTGGCTTGCAATCAAGAAACTAGAAACCAACTAATCGAAGAAGAAATTCAATTCCAAAAATCACCAAATAGGAAAAGAAGATAGGAAGATTTCAATGACAATAATTAGATCTCTCAGAAACCTTAAAAATATGAGGATTTTAATGAAATATTGTAAAAACCACCCAAGGTGTTTCATGATCAAGCAATCCAAACTGAGAACAAAGAAAAGAAAGACTCGGAATCGTAAATTCCAGAGCATAATTACATCAATCAACCATTCTATGATTAATTGATCTCTGAAGCCCTTGTTACTCTACCTCAACATAGGATTAGTCTAGATGACATTGTGAAGTAATTTCTCAATTATATCAAGGTAATTATCCTTTGAAATCAATACATTCTCTTAAGAATTGAATAAATTGTAGGAGGAACAAAGGCCCATCATTGACAAGATTGTATAGATGGTTGATGAAGTATGAATCTGTTCTCATTCAATTATTAGACTGTTCAATCTGTATGTTCTAAGTCTCGTGCCTTTCTATACGGTTCTTGCTAAACTGGTCTAAATTTACTTGACTCTGATATTGATATTGTGATCGAAACAAACGAATTACAAAGGATCTCATTGTATAAGATTGCTGAATAATTTAAAGTATTATGGTATATAGTTTTAGACACAAGGCTTTATTAAGGAGGTGAAGGTTATTGATAATGCTAGGAAACCTGTTTTGAAAATGCAATGTTCATAAGAATTTCAAAATAAACTTATTGATATTACCATTAGTAAGAATGATCATTCTGGGAGAAAGACTGCTAATTCGATGGTTGAATTCCAGAAGGAATTTAAATAGTTTAAAAGTCTTGCTTTAATCTTGAAGTTTTACTTTAAATCAATCAATCTATTAAATGCCTATCAAGTATCTCAATCATATGAAACAAGGGTGGTTTGAATAGCTATTGCATTCTGACTATGATCTTAGCCTTACTACAAATTAAACGAGTGCGTGATATTGACAATGAAGAGATTGGTAAGACCTTTTTGGACTTTTTCGATCTATATAGTTAAGATATCGATTACTTTAATAAAATTATCAATATTGTTCCGTCCCAATCAGAGAATATGTAAGTTGATGAACCTAATATTTACTAATAACAATTTCCTTAGTTGTAAAGATTCATGTAATTTTAGTGATCAAGGACAGTAAGAATTAGTTATATTGGATTTACATAATAAAGGCAATAACATTGCTAGCAGCACCTTCAAAATCAAGCACATCAAAGTAACAATTCCTATTTAAATTAAAGAATGCCTTGACACTCGCTTATAGTACTATATTGAATTCTCAAAAATGCGAAGAGCCCTGCTTTTTCTCCAGATACAATAAACCTGTTTGTTGTATACTAAAATAAATCATCTAACAATCAAAGAACCATCACTTGACTGGACCATATAAATCAAAATAGCCATTTTATTTCTTTAATAATACTTATTGACACATGTAATATCATTTTCTAATTATATTGATAATCTTTAAATATTGTTTAAAACACAAAAATAACACAACTATGTTAACATCTTAATTGATTAGACAGCATAAAAATATCAAATTATATTTATAAACAATTATCATTTCATCTTATCTAATTAGTTTAAATACTTTAGATGTTCTTTCTCGAGTCTAGCAATTTCATCATCAAACGGATCCTAGTTCATATTACTTACTGGTTTATTTGACATGACCTTCACAGGAGCATCCTCCTTTTTTTTGGCCACAGGTTTTGGTATATTTCTGGCAAATTCCATGGCCTTTTGTCTCGATATGTTTGTAATAATACCTTGAATTAATTTCAGGTTGCTTAGTCTCTTTTTTCTTGATAGTTATTATATTGGTTGAATTAAACTGCCTGACTTATTCTGCAAATTCTTGCCTTTTTTGTACTTTTTCTTTTTCCTTTGCCCATTCTTCCCCACTAATATTAGGGCCCAAGCCTCCTAATTTGGCATTTGCAGTCTTTTTCATTATCTCGTAATCTTTGATGGTGTATGGTTTGTACCGTTACGAATCCCCTACTTGTTGTTATTATTATTTTGCAGATTGGGATCTTTGTTCCATTTTCTTTTGAGGTTCAGTAGCTGTTTGCCTTACTTAATAGTCGTGGGTGGGTTGAAAATATTACTATTGACTCAGGTATTATAGCGAATCTTGGATCTATTACTCTGGTATATATGGGTTGTGTTAATATAAGGTTTAATGGTGTTGTTGGTGGTTGTATTGAATTTGTGTAAGTACAGGTTGAACATTAACTTATTATTGCAAAGGTTATTGAATCTGAGGACTTCTATGTTGATCTGAGATAAGTGACATATGATACATTCGAAGTCTTTCTTGATTGGCTATTAACAGGAATTGAGAACAGACTCTAGCCCATTCCTACCCATGACTGTTGTTTTGCCCTTGAACCTTTCCTAGAAAGTTGACATTATAAATTATTATATGTATAATATTAACCCTTCTAAAAGTGCAATCCATTTTGTATGAATTCTTTGAATAGCTCAAGCAGGTTTATTCCTATTCAACATGGTAATTGAGTTCTCTCAAATAAACTATAAGACCACACCATTGGCTTTTTGTTGAATTTTTTGGAAGCGAACACTGAAGTAGATAAAGTTATTACGAGCATTTTAGTATTCATTTAAGGAGGTTTCAATTATTTTTGAGCTTGTTTGCAATTCGAATTTTATAATAGAATATTTCGTTGAGTATATTTATAAGTTTTTGAGGAATAGAAGACTTAATAATTATTTTTCTTAGCATATATTTTCATTGATAATGCCCAGGAATAAGAAGAAATGCGGGAGGCCACCTAAATCCGAGAACACTGAGGAGATAGAGTATATGGACGAGGGATATATAGCGACCAATTAATTTGCCTTGGAACTTCTATAATTGATCACAGAGATGGCTAATTATAAATTACTCACGATAACAGGGCCAGCTCCAGGTAAAAATGATGAGGAAAAAAAAAAATATAAGAAAAAGTGTCTAAAGAACAGAAAGGAAATTGAAAAAGAACAAAAATGGTTGAGAAGTAAGTTAAGTATCGAGGAGGACTAGGTGTTCTTCTTGAGGAATCAAAATGATAATCCCAGGAAATATCGATTAGTGGATGGGAAGTTGGTTAAGTGTGGAGATGAATCATCTAATAATATTTTTTAACTCCAAAATGATAATTACAAAGCCAACAGTTTTACTAAGAGCATCCTAAGAGTTTGCAATGAGTTAAATACAGAGATTTAAAACTTTATAAAACAACTAGTTATTATATTCTTACAATCTAACAAATCAATAAACGAGTTTTAAGAACAATTTTTTTCATTATTTAATTCCTAATCGGAGTAAGAATATAAAGAAATAAGACAATGGGATGAATTATTTGAAATCTCATTTGATGAAAAGTTATCTTTAATGTAGAGTGAAATTGATTAATTCAAAACTAAATATTCTCTAAATTTAGACCTAGAGCAAAGTCAAATGAAAGTTGAATAAAAAAGAATCGATGTCTTAAAAAACCAACAGTTGAACATTGAGGTCTTTAAAAGTATATAAGGACCCAATCGACCCTTGAAACTATTCACAAGAAGAATACACAGTCTATTCCATAAGCATTATAGTTTGGAAGAATGATATTAATTTAATTATCACTAATAATTTGTCTCTTCTTTTAATGTTTCTATTATTATTGTTCTATAACTAAGTCAAATCTCTGACCAACAAGAGGGTTAGCAAAGGATGCAGACTTCTTTGATGTGTTAAATTTCTTGAATTAAATTAGGTCAAATAATTCAAATGCATTATGTATAAATCAACGATTTGTGATTGCAATAGGTTTAATTCTATTGTTAAAATAACCATCAAGGGGTAAAATAGAATTAAATAAAGCTAATATTTATGATTATTTTAATTCGATAATGAATAATAACACTTGAATTATTTTTCATCCTCTGCATTTTAGATAGCAGGGTTATTTTTTAGATTAGATGTGGTTATGATCACATCAACTGGTTTGAGTTTATAAAAGTATAAGGTCGAATTATTGGATCATGTGAAGTTAGTACAGTCGATAATTAAAAGCTGTTTATTAATTTAATATAATGAAGCAACCTCCTAAGATGAGTTAGGCAAGCAGTCCAAACAACAAACTCATCAGTACTCTATTACTGAAACAAAAGAGTCCTTCATAGTATGCAATTCAGAGTCCAGCAGTCTCTCCTACTCAAGTGAGTTTGCCGAAAGGTCTGTATCAAAGCAAGAACACATCAATTGATTTGTCCAAATTGGCCAGTCTGATGAAGCAATAGAAAGCGAAGTAGCCATCCGAAGGACAGAAAGACTCAATGAACTAGTTGATAGCAAAGGCTCGTGCAATTGCAATGTCTGCAAAGACACCAACAGGCCCGATTCATATTCGGAATGATTCAACGCAGGTTCGGAAGGAGAACAAAGAGCCAGAGGTGGTGAGTCCAAAGGTTTCAGATACGAAATAGATGGGGAAGGCAGCATTTACATTTGAATATGTAATAGGAATCGGAGGATTTGGGAAGGTATGGAAGGTGAAGAGAGTGGGATAGCAATACGCTATGAAGGAGATGTCTAAAGCCTTGGTGATAACAAAGAAGAGTGTGAACTCAGTGATGAATGAGCGTATGTTGCTCAGTCAACTCAAGCACACATTCTTGATCAACATGTACTATGCATTTCAAGATCGAGAGAATCTGTACCTGGTGATGGACTACATGTGTGGAGGTGACTTGCGATTTCACATTGGGAGAATGAGACGATTCAATGAGGAACAGACTAGTAATAGTATTCGATGATAATAAGAGTTTTTTGTGGCCTCTATTTTTATTGGTCTTGAGTACCTGCACACAAACAACATCATCCACAGAGACATCAAACCAGAAAACTTGGTGCTTGATGAAAAGGGTTTTGTGCACATTACCGATTTAGGTATTGCTCGTGTTATGAAGCCTGAAAATTCTAGTGATACGAGTGGAACACCTGGTTATATGGGTAATCAGTTAATCATTTAATAAGCAATTAGCTCCTGAGGTGATGTGTAGATAGAACCACACTTTTGCAGTCGATTACTATGCTTTGGGTGTAATTGCTTATGAGTTTATGTTGGGCAGAGTATGAATTAAGATTTAATCAAATGTAGCGACCCTACGTTGGTCGATCTCGACAGGAGATTCGGGATCAAATACTGGCCAGATAAGTCTAAATTAGAGCAAGTGAAGTCCCTCCTAATTGGAGTGCCGAGGCAGTTGATTTTGTGAATCGTTTATTACAACGTAAACCCAATAGTCGACTTGGTTATAATGGAGGACATGAAATCAAATTGCATCCTTGGTTCAAGAGTTTCCCATGGTCCAAGTTATAAAACAGAGAATTCACTGCTCCATTCATTCCAAATCCGAGTGATGATAATTTTGATTAACGTCAAATAGTGATCGAGGATGAAGAGAATGCTGAATTGATCAGTTAGAATATGCAATTGTTGAGAGATCCCAATGTTCAGCAACAGTTTGTTGGCTACGAATATCAAGCGCATAATAATGAGAGGGTCTTCGTCTTTGATTAATAAAAATAATGAAGCTATCACTCACATTATTTACACTTCTAATATCTATTTATTGTGCCGTGCATAGAGAATATTACGATATCTTGGGAGTCTCTCCAAATGCTTCAGTCTAAGACATCAAGAAGGCCTATCGTAAACTATCACAGCAATACCATCCCGACAGAAATCAAGGTGATCCAGATGCAAATGAAAAATTCTCGAAAATCAACGTGGGTATTGGAGAATCCTATGATTTTAGCATATGAGGTTCTATCAGACCCAGAGTAGAGGAAAAAGTATGATAAGGGAGGAGTTGACGGTCTCAATAGTCAGGGAATGTAGCATCACGATCCATTTGATATATTCGGATCATTTTTTGGAAGAGAATAGTAGGGAGAACGAAAGGGCCCAGAATTGAAGGTTAAGGTTAGAGTCACTTTGGAGGATATTTACAATGGCAAAGAGATCCCAGTCTATTTGACTAAACAAATATTATGTCCACATTGTAGAGGTTCAGGAGCTGATGATCCAGATCTCGTGGAGACATGTCCAGTTTGTAAAGGTGTTGGAAGTGTCTAGAAAAGACAATAAGTGGGTTTTGGATGTAAGTTAATTTATCGACAATATAAGTTTTTTAAACATTCCAAGCCACGTGTGATAGATGTTATGGAACAGGAAAGATCATCAAAAAAAAGTGCCATCTTTGTAAAGGTGATAAGGTAATAGAATGTCATTGATTCTTAGATCATTCCTGGAGCTGATAATATCAGTTTGTATATAGAGAAAGGAATCTAGGACAAGCAAACTATTGTAATCATTTACATCGATATGCTATTTAGAAATATGAGAATATGGCTGATGAACGTAATGATTCTGGCACTTCGGATCTCGTCTTTTAAATTGAACAAATACCACATGCATTCTTTTAAAGACAAGGAACTGATTTAAGATGCAAAGTGGAGATCACTTTGAAGGAAGCCTTACTTGGATTCAAGAAGAAGATCAAACATCTTGATAATCATTTTGTGAGAATTGATAAGGAAGGCATTACAAAGCCTGGGGAAGTGTAAGTCATAAAAGGGGAAGGAATGCCATAACACGAGTTTTCATCTCAACATGGAGATTTATATGTAGAATACAAAGTGGTGATTCCAGATTTCAATGGGGAACAACTTAGATGTAAATATAAATTATTATCACATAGAATGGTAAAAATTCTTTTAATGAATATAATATAAATGTATAATTTACATGTTTTTGTTTATTTACGTGCTTCATAGTACAAAGGGTTTATACCTATTTTTAATATTATATTAAATTAATGTACTCAAGTTATCAGATAGTGATTGAAAACGAACCTGAATGTGTGAATTTGTAAGACATCCCCATACTGTATGTGAACTCAATAGCATTGCAATTTAAGGATGAATAGATGACGGAGTTTAAAGTCATCGAATTTGCATTGATAATACTCTCAATGTTGATTAGTATGATTTGTGGTGCACGTTACTTGATGTGAGCATGAAATTAGTTAATGTTAGTGTGTCGATGACTTACATGTGTTAGACAACAATCAGCATATTGGCACTCCTATCATTGATGTTAATGATATTGCCTTCAATCACTCTATGTTCTAAGACTTTCAAGATGAGTTTGCATATGTAGAGAATAGCACAATTGTTATATTTATCATTATTGATCATGGGATCTGTAATATTTTTTTTTTTCAAACTCAAACTTATCAAGAATGTAGACTGTAAGGGAAGGTAATAGTGGAGGAAGTAGGAACACTGCCATTCCTATTGGAAATTCTTTGTTGTCTGATGAATCTAACTTACGTAAGTTACTTGCATTATGTCACAGTGCAATATTGCAATAAGGAGTAACCAATCAGAATGCAGATAGTGCAGAAGATTATGAACACAATAGTACCAATAATTTGATATTATATTATAATTTATAAACATGGGATGCGTAATTACAAACGAGAAAGTTGCTCTCTAGAAAACCATGATGATGGAGTCCACATTCAACAAGGAACAACGAGAGAAGGAGTAGCGGATCAAAGCACATCTTATTTTAGACGAATACCGTCAAACCAAAACAATTAGAAAGTAAATCAAATTGCAATCGGACGTCAAGGATGCTTTACTAGAGTAACTCACAAGGAATAAAACAGTAACTCCTCAAAAGTCCTCGATTGCCAATTGAATTATATATATATGTTTTCATTCATTTAATTAAGTAACCCCTTACTGTTTCATACCAGTAGTGAGTCAGACTTTCCAATTTGCTCTAAACACAATCCTTTATCTAGCCAAAAAGTGTTTTCTAGTCATCAGAGTCAATGGCAATTTGATATTTACGAATCCGATGTTGCAGGGCTTCTTTTATTGTCATTCTTTTGTCTTCCTCAGTCAAACACTTGTTGATGAAATCATTAACTACTTCATCCTCCTCTTCTCGAGTGTCTCTCCTCTTATTCTCCCTTTGCTGATATTGAATACACTTACAAAAGACACTCCAATGATTCAAATGGATGGATTTTATAAAATAATTAGTGCAAAATAATTCCCAAAGCCCATACATCCTACTTGTCACTGTAGATGGTTCGCTTATTGCTTTTGTGGACTTCTGGTGCCATTGTCTCAGGAGTTCCACACTTGACCGATTCAGTTCCCAGTCCATTGTCTGAAATGCTCTTGGCAAATCCAAAATCAATGATCTTTATCTAATCAACATTTGCATGATCATTACCTATCTCTTTTTCAACAGGATGTTGTCTAATTTCAAATCCCTGTGGATGATTTTGTGTTTCTGCAATTCTTCCAGACCATTAAGAATTTGCTAAAAATATTAAATGGCCTCATTTCTACTAAACTCTTGATACCGCTTGCTTAGAGACTCTCATTTTATACATACTTATTACCATCGCATAATTCCATTATTATGTAATGCTTATCATCAATCTTTACATCATCATAAATCTTAGCAATATTCTTTGATTTTAAACTTTTCTACAATTCTATTTCCGAGCTGACTCTCTCGTTCCCAATCATCACTCTTATTGCCACCTTCTTGTTCCTATTCTAACACTAAATCATTAACTAAAGATTCTTACTTTCCATCCCGCATATACCTAACAATAAGAACCTTTCCCCAATAAATTATCAGAATTATAGCAGTATTCTCCTATAGTAATTATTGCACCCTAATCTAAGATTTCTCTTTTTTATTTAAAGCATCTTTCAAGATCGTTTCTTCGAGTTTCAATCCTAAACTTCTCCCTCTTCTTTTACATCTACTTCAAAAATATATATATATATAAATTAATATTAATGACACTCATATATATAATAATTATTGTATACTCTTCTAGTTATCTCCAATCACTAAAATTGTTGATAATCAGTATAAATACTGCGTAGAAATATTTCATTTAAAATGTTATATATGATGAATTATCAATTGCTCAATTATCCTAAAATTTAATACAAACCTAAATAAATAAATTTAAATGGATTTAGAAGACAACGACTTCTTGGCAGATGGTGACAATCGCAATGTGAGATCCCGGAATAAGAACAATAATAATAAGAGAAACAACAAGGTAGAGACAGTGCAAAGAGATTAATAAAAATAAAAAAGGCAGGAACAATAACATAAAGATGAAGAATGGTCGGATGAAGAGGAGAAGAAGAATAATGCCAAGAGGTTGTAACAGTAGGAGAAGAAATTAAAGCTAGCCTAGAAGCAATTAGAATTTAAGAAAGACGAGGAAGAAATGTAACCAAAATTAAAGGGCAAAGAAAAAAGACAAGCTCATATACACGATCTATGATCATTATTTTAATAATATCAATTCCTTAATTTACTTTACAATGCCTTAAACTGCCAGACCATGCTCTTCCTGCTCTATCAATTACTGTAGAATAGAATTCTTAAACATGTCTTTAATTTTAATTGAGTCAGACTCTAATAGATAATATAGTATTTGTAACAAATGTTTGAGGTTCAACTGACTCTAATCCTTCTGAATCAAGAGTTCCAATAGTTATTTTCTAAACAATATACTAAGTCCAAATTCTTTTGGTAATACTTTAACTAGTGTTGGGTACATGGGAACAGTGTTATTTTTAAAATATGCCACAAGAATGTCAATGTTTTTACTTAGAGGGATACGTTGAGTTTAATCTAATTCTATTAATTTAACAATTGTATCAAGTAACTTTGTAATATTTAGATTTGTTGTTAATAATCCAACATAAATGCTAATACCTCCATTTTCTTGTAATTTTTATTTGCATCTTTCAGAAGATGTAGCTAATGAACATAAGATGCTAATAGCCGCCTTTTTCATAGAGATTTGGTTTTCTTATTCACTTGGCAATTTGAATAATTCTAGCAATAAAGGAACGCCTTCATAAAGACACAATTCTTCTTATTTATCATGATTCAGTTTTGTAAGATAAAATATAATTCTTAGAATATCCGCAATCATCGGTCCTTAACTTGGTAAGTCTTTCTTTAACAGGGTTAAGGCTCTAGGGATGATAGCGAATCCATCAAGATGTGGCTACAGATTGGGTTCAGTGGAGAGATATCTAAATATTTTTATGGTTTTTAGAAGTGCTTATTCCTAATTTTAATTAAGGAAAGTGGCCAATCTTGTGATAACTTCTTTTTCGCAAAGGGATTGTTTAACTATTTTGTCATCGCACTTTGCTAAGATTACTAGAATATTCAATGATTTGATCATTAAGTTAACATCTATATTTTGAATTTGTTCAGCAATAAGGACTAATCTATAAGTGATGAATTTGCTAGTTAACAGTCTACTAAGATTTCTTTAACTTATAGTATTAAGATCGTAGAGTAATATGATTGTGTCTAATGCTAAACCAATTAAGTCAATGTTATCAGAGATGTCTGATGTATCAATTAATTCTAAGAGGTTATCCAATCCTCCTATTGAGAGAAGGAATCCTTCCTTGAAGTAGGTTAACTATCCCAAAAAATAGGCAGCTTCAACTCTTAGTTCTTTATGAAATTCAGAGGAAGTGATTTATTGGTAAAATGTAGCTGCTCCCAAATAACATGACAATTCTAATAATTAAGGATTCTAATCAACAACAATATTTATTAATTCAAATATCAATTTTAAAATTTATAAAGATTAGGATTAATCTTATGAATTATTTTCACAATATAATGGCATATATTTCTCTATAATTTCCAATAAAGATGTTAAACCAGTATGAATGAAATATTCTTTGCATTTATCATTGGGAATAGTATCCTTTAACTATTCTAAAATTTTAATAATCTAAGAATTGTCACTTTGTTCTGTTAATTAAGTGATGAGTTCATTAATTTCTCTCATGCTTTTGCCATCTTCATTCTAGCCCCAAAATCCATTTTATTTAATTTGATGACTTGTTCTTAGTTTAAGCTATCTGAGTGAATCCAATTAAGAGTCTCTCACAGCACTGCTTTTATCTATTTTTCTAGGCGATTAACATTGAACTAATTATGGTACTTATTCAATGAATGAGTCGGTAATAAATGTTCCAAAATTAGATTGATCTACAATGTGATTTCGTATAGTGTTTGTTACTTCTTCAGGTAGATTAGGTCCTTGAACTATATGCCAACTTTTAGTGATCCATGGATGTTTGAGCATAGTAGTGGCATCATCCCTTAAAGTGGGATCCTTTTGGAAACATTGAATTAGAAAGTCTCTGCATTCATTTGAGATTCCTTCTGGTAAGGGAGGACAATCTCTTTGGACAATTTAAAACATTGCAGCATATTATAATCTATCGAAGTAAGGTGGATTCCCTGTCAATAGCTCTATGACTGTGCATCCAAGTGACCATATATCACAGGATGTAGATAGATGTCCTGACATTTCTATTACTTCAGGTGCCATCCAGTATGGAGTACCAACTATGTTATTGCTTTGTGTCGTATCTTCAGACAAAGTCGTGGCCACTCCGAAGTCTGCCAATTTAACAGTACTTGATTATCTTATTATTAAAATTACCCATCTTTGGTAGTCAAAATATTGGCACCCTTTATGTCTCTATGGACAATTCCTTATTAATGCAAATACTCCAAGCCTTTCAATACTTGTTTAACATAAATGGCTACCAAAGACTCTGGAAATGATCCAAACTTCTTTAGAATGCTTGCCAAACTGCCACTTTCGATGTATTCAAGAATAATATTCAGAAATTGATCAGTCTCTATACAATCAATGTATTTCACAATATTTTCATGTTTCAACTTCTTCAATAGGTAGATTTCTTGTTGTAATGCTTTATACTGATCTTCTTTCAGTGTGGCTCTTGACACTTGCTTTATTGCCACAAGTGTTCCCTCTATTATTGTGTGTTTATTACTAATTCCAAATTCAATCCTTTGTACACAGTACCAATCGAGCCTCTACCTAGCAAATCGCCTAGCTAGTAATTACCGATCTTCTTCATCTATCTAGACAATTGAGACATTTTAATATTATTTAATATATATATATATAGAAGTGATTGTAAAGAAGCGTGCAGATACAAGATGCATGTAAGCTATCTTATATTGAATAGTGCCATTGCATCAATGTGGCAAACGTAAAAAGGGGCACAAATATTGTAGATTGTGTGTCCAGAGTGTTATTTGCCATTTATTAATTTAATTAATGAATTTAATCCCTAACGAGCGCCAGGCTATAGAGCAGCTGAGAGAGGTCAGTGAATTGGAACCCACTCAATTGAATTGGGGGAAAGACATACTGCTCTTCAATAGAAATAACCCCAATAGAAAGCGGCGATCCACTACCAGAGAAGGGGAACAGAGGTAACGTCTGCCCCAAGTGAATAAGGTTCCCCTTAAGATGCCGCTACAAGAAATTTCACTTAATCAAGACCATTCTACTCCCAATTATTCCAAACTGCCACCCCTAATAAAATCAATCAAACCTCATACTGCAAAGCCCAACTACAATGGCATAATTCTTGGTGCCAATTTTGCACATTTTGAAAGGAGAATACTTAAAAAAATCAATTTATCTTGAATTTTATACTACTAAATTATGCGTTTATAAAATCCCACTTTATTTTAAAAAATTAAACATAAAAATGCAGCCACAATAATTCTTGGATTTGGTGCAATGTGCATTCTTTGACAGCAATACATAACGAAGTTAGGCAGAGTAAGTACTACTCAAGTACAAGGATGAATATCCTGATGAATTCATGGTCTATTGTGCTTAAGCATTCTCTAATCGCGGCATTTAGAATCGCATCAGAATAGCTTGCAGTACTTTGGTTAAACGACTAGTGGGATTGATTGTAATAGTCTACTTCTATTGTAGCATCCTCCTTCTAATTAAATTACTTGGTTGGCATGTTCTCAACAAACTAAGAATGATGTGAAAATGAAGTTCATGGAATAGCTGATTGACCCTGAAAATACAATTAGAAGATCAGCAGCCAATGTGAGTCTATCAAACTATCTATTAGACTATTAGTGAAATATGTGCCATAGAGTTACCAAGACAAGAATGGCCGGATCTAATTTCTCGATTGACTACAAACTCTAAACACACTGATATTTTAATTAAGGTTTCAGCCATCATGACATTAGGTTACATTTGCGAAGCATTAGTATGAATCCTAATATCATTTAGAAAACTCATCAATCTTCAGGAATCTCTGAGAATGACTCTAAAGTCATACTAATGGGAATTTGCGTAGGAATGGATTTGAATGAGTAGACTTTAGAAATTAGATTGACTGCAATCAAAGCCTTACAGGATTCATTATACTTTATGAACAACTTGTTTAAATAATAAGTATTTGCACCCACATTTAAATTAGGAAATCTTTACTTATGTGAAGAATTTGATATTGCAAAATGCTATATGCAATATTCAGGATATTAAACACAAAGCACTTCAATGCTTGATTGATTTCGTTAAGCAACTTTTCACACTTTTACCTGTCTACATAAACGAATTATTTTAAACAACTTAGGCTTCATTCGAAAATCAAGGTGATATATCTATAGCAGCAATTGAAATCTGGAATACTATTTGTGCAGAAATGAAAGAAGAAATCATGTAGAATGGCAATCAATAGACACCTGAAAGTAATGCAGTAGATTGTTGTGTGTAATTTTTTAAAAAGAATTATGAAGGATTCTTACTGCCATTCATGAGAAACCTCTTATTGGATAGTGGAGATGTGGATGATGAATATCAAGGTTTGTCAGTCCCTGATTCATCTTGTAAAGGATTAGCATTTATAATTGATTTCGCTGGAGTCAACACTTACGAATTAGTCAAAAACTTCATTTAGAACACTCTCACACATTAGCAATGGGAATACAGAAAAGCCAGCGTTATGGCATTTGGTGCTTTGGCTGAAGTTCAGACCAAAGAAATAGAAATGCTCATTAAATCTGCTCTAAGTAATCTTTTCTCTTGTTTGGTTGATCAACACTTCAAAGTCAAGAAAGCAACAGCTCAAACCTTGAGTAGAGTGGCTGAAAATTACCCATAATGCTTCCATGAACACGATTAAGCGAATCACATGTTGGCAACCTTATTGGATCAATTGAATAACAAAATATCCATTGTTTAACATCTGATTTGGGTCTTTGTTTACCTCACTGAACAGCTGCAACTCTTTTCCATGAGTATATTTAACAGAGAGAAATTTAAAATATTGTAACATTTAGCAAGCACATCAGTAAGAGCAGATATTAAGAATTCAGAAATAGCATTAATTGACACAGCTTTCATGGCTATTCTCAATATTATCTATAGTGTTACTGATACGAAATTATGCAATGACTACTTGATCCAATTCTTTTAATAAATATAACTATTAGAAAGTGGTACATAAGTACCTCTTGAAATTAAATTTCATTTAGAGATGGGATTGATGAGTGCCATGCATGGTTGTGTAGTGAGATTGGATGATTCAACAACTCCAGAATCAGTATTTGAATCAATCATGAAAACTCTATCAAATGTAGACTCAAGAGTTAAGAATGACTATTTCTATGTACTATCAGGAATAGCCTATGCTTTTAAAAAGAAATTATCTAAATATTCGTCTTAATTAATAGCAGAATTAAATAAACCCCTCTCTGAACCAGATGACATGGAAAGCTTTAAGACAGCGTTGTTCTGTTTAGCAGATATTGCAAGAGCAATGGAAGAAGAGTTTGTGCCATATATGAGCATTTTAAATTATTTCTTCGGTTTGATTAAGGTATTAAGAGTATATTAACAATTAGAATCCAAATTTTAATAGAGAATTAAAATTATAAGTGTATAATGCTATTGCAGACATAATTTTAGGATTGAAGGATAAATCTTTCCAATTTTTAGGTGATCTGAAAGAGATTCTCAAACTAGGTTTTGCTGCGAGCATGGATTTGACTAAGAGTTAATAGAATGTTGATTAAGACTATGCAGAAAGATTGAAAGAGACGATGACTTCATTCTATACTTGTATTTTACATGCATATTGCGAACCTAATGTGCCTAACTTTGATTTGAGAGACACAGTAGATTGGTTCATAATATTTTGCACTGATATGTGCAATCTAAAATTAAAACCTACAATTGTATAAATATATATATTAAATGATAGGAATATGTTAGATTGACTTTGTGTTGTATATTTGATTGTTCGCATTTCTTTTAGACAGTGCCAGAGATGAAAATAAAGTTGAAAGACTTCATTACTAGCGATTTTGTGATTGAACTGATTAGGAAGTTGAGTCAATTCAATGACAAAGACAATCAAGAATGTGTTTCATTTGCCAAATAGTTACTAAATGACGTTTATGGATTTTAATTGAAATTGTATTGAATTAAATTAATTTGAATATTAATGGGTAATGTATGTGAGCCAAGAGAAGAACTTGAAAGGAATGATAGAACTATTTAACTTCAAAGACGTCTCGAACCAAGAATGTCAATATCGAGTCCTTATTATGCAAAACTGAAATAAATAGAATCTACATAACATTGTTTGTCTCAATCAGCTCAAGAAAAACAAATTCTCAATCTAATAGATATTCGTTAATAAATTGTGTAAGAAATGCTTAATCATGTGGAAACTTGTGGTCATTAAGAACTAGTCTCAGCATAAATACTGACTGAAACTCACAATTTCTCATCATTTAATTGGATCAATGATTCGAATAGTCATTATGAAAGTTGGAATCCCCAAGATTGTCACACACTCTAGGAAACCACTTGTGAAAGAGGAATCCATTTGAATGAGTGTATGCGTTTATGTTGTCTTAATTTGGAAGCTTTTAAATATACAGAATAGGGTAGTGATTATATTTATGTTGCTTTTATTATGAAATATTGATTATCCAATTTATCATTGTTTCTTTGAATTTGGAAAATACCATTCCTTGCCAGGTGTGTAACCCAAAGTAGAATACAACTCTTTACGTGTTTACATACTATAAATTACTATATTTAATTTCTTTACTTTTAAACTGAATTCACCTAAGACTCATCCTTCTTCAATTATTTCAAAAATTCATCAATAGCCTTACTAGCGATTCTTAATGTAGAAACAGGATAGATAACACAATTATAACCCATCTACTCAAATTCCTTTAATGTAATATATGGAGTCTTTCCAAATTCTGTCATGTTAGCCAATAAATATATGTTTGGGTTCTTCTACTTCAATTCCTTAGCCACAATAGCCATTTCTTCCTTTGTGTGTAAACCTTCAGGGAATATCATATCAGCTCCTGCATCCATATAAGCCTTGCTTCTTTTGATACATTCATCCAATCCATGTGTTCCTCTGGCATCAGTACGTGCTATATTGGGATTAAATCGATGCTTTACCACAAATAACAAACTCTCCTCCACTACATTGGATACTTGCATTTTTAGCTATTTATATCTTCTTCTCCATAACATCGGATGGAACCAATTCCTTTCCATCCAAATGTCCACAACGTTTTGGGAACACCTAATCCTCAATATGGAGACCTGAAGCTCCATGTATGAAATATTCCCATACTGTTTTTGAACACATCTCTCCTTCTCCGAATCCTGTGTCTGCATCAGCTAGAATTGGTAATCCTGAAGCTAGAGCCACATCCTTAATCGTCTTACAGAATCCATCCAAAGTTACCATACTTAAGTACTAATAGCTAAATTGTACCCAATATCTGGAACTCCACTGGATGCAGTCACTGCAGCACCTGAAATGTACAGGGCCTCAAAACCATTATCTGCACATTGTCTACCAACTATACCATTGTATGCTCCTGGCATCATTAGACATTTCTAAGCTAATAGCTTTCTAAACAATGAGCAATTTTATTTAAATAACATAATAATTTATTATTCCAAAAGAATTACCACTTATAAATTATAAAATATAATAAATTAATTCTTCTTTAATTTTATATTAATTAATAACTTCTCCCCTATTAACACAATCTATATAACGCTTTTTATTATTATTTAATTAACTTAATGGGCTGTTCTGAATCTGCTCCCTTTAAATCATCTCTCACGCAAAAAACACAGTCAACAATAGACACACCCTCAACACTTGCTAAATGTGTCCTTCCTCTCTCCTTATCTGCCTCCTTTGACAATTTTGACACTTATGAACTCGATGATCAAACCATATCACATTATTATGATGAAATTCAACAGAAAGTCATCACCATACCAAAATTACGTTCCATCGATAATTCGATGATTATTTAAAGAAGAAAAATGCTCAGACTTTGAATAATTAGAACATTATGATTTTATTATTCGGTAACCTAACCTCTTTATATATTTATTGGTTCCTTCTTATAATACTACTTACTCTTCATATATTTTAAGCTCATGATCTCACTAAGTGGTTTTATGAATATTATCAAATCATCCTTTGTATTTATTACACTTTACACTTAAATATACTTACAATTCTATTATCAAATTGAATTCTTGGATATGAACTTTACTTATTCCCTTTTATGCCTTTCTAATCAATTAAATTACGGTTTACAGCACTTTGATAACAATCATATAATATTAAAATCCATATTTTTACAATTGTTTGCTAATATGAAATTCTAAATAAATTATTGCAGGTCAAGGTTATCACCTATTCAACAATCTACCTGTTATTGAGATGTCTCTAGTTTTTAATGATTTTTGACTCCTTAAATCGCTTAAATCAATGATAAATCATTAAAATAACTTAAATAATTCTTTATTATTATAGAATGTTTGCAATTCTACGCATCATATGTTTTCCACTTAAATAAGCCAAGAATCTCTCTAGAAACTTTCAGATCATCTCCAAGCAACCAAAAACAGAAGAAATATTTTAGATTCATATACTTTTGAAGATTTAATACATCATAATTAAACATAGACCTAACACGTTTTCATTTTTATGAAATCATTCTCCAAAGGTTTGTCGGCGTCCAAAAATTTACATCAATTATTACGACCACTATTATTAAAGAAGAAGGGATTAAATTTGATATTCTTTCTTTATTACTTCACTCAATATATTTACACTTATAAATATAATCATATATGCTCATCTTTAAAAAATTTATCTTTAATACGATTACATACTCTACAATAACAATTAGATTTCATAACATACGTTTAAATTTAGTTATTCATTGTAACGTTTCTCAGTATATGAAAGCTTTAAAATTAAATTTATCAAATTTTTTTATTCTTCCAAGTACTTATAATTCTACTCATAACATATTATTTATGACTCTAAAATCAATATGAAATTGAATTTACATGTTGTAACCATTTAAATTTTTTTGAATTAAGGAACTCCAAAATCACTTGTAGATATTGATATTCTATTGGTCCAATTCCGAATTTATTGTCAATTATTTATAATATAAATTATGAGAATTTCTATTGATAAATTGTTTCTAAAAGTGCAATGGTAAATATTAATAAAATAGAATATTATTTTTATTTATGGTAATCAAGGACATTTTAGAAGATACTCAATTAATTTAAGGCTCTAATTATTGGATGATAATTGGAGTATTTCAAATCTCAATCTAATAATTGAAATAAATTTTTTAATTGAGTTTGCCAAATGATTATTTTTTGATTATTAATGTGTACTGAAACTTTAATTCCATATAGATTTCTATCTATAAATATGAAAAATGAGCTCTATCGAAGTCATCAAAACATATGAGTTAACTTTTGTAAATACAATATGATAATTGAAGGTGTTTAAAAATGGAAGTGACAGAAAATTGATTAATTATATTCAATTATGAAAAAATTAAACGAAATAATTTATTGAGAGCATTGAAATCTATTTTGTATATTCGCAGTTGAGAATTGAATATATTAGTCTCATATAATGAATTTTTTTTACTCATTAATTCTTAATTTTAAGAATTGATTAATCTTAGAATGATGACCATATATTGGATCACGCGTGAAATTAACAAAGAAGTGGGATATATAAAAAAAAAATCATTTTTTCAAGTTAAAGAATGTTGGGTTAACCCACATTAGGTTAGGCCTAGATGTAATGAGTTGTTTGGTTTGTTTAGAAATAGTAAGGGCTGGTTCATCCTTACTAAATTGGCATAGTACAATATCTAGATTGAATCTCACTCTTTTCTTAAGTTTTAGTTTATGATTGGGTTTGTGACAAATGAATTGGGATGTTGATATGTCATCTTTGGGCATAAATTCCGAATTGTAATCATCTAAACATTCGAGATCATCATTTGTTTGATTCTGATAATCTGAAATCGGGATCTAAAATATTGATTTTGGACCTATCATTTGAAAATGATATATTTTTTTATGTTTCCAAATTTATTCTTTTGCTCTATATTAGATAAAATATATATCTTTGAATATCTGATTAATTATTTAGGTAGTTGATATATAATTGACAATAAAACAAGCATTGTAATATTTAAATAATCCAGTAATATCATATTGATTTAATTCTAATATTGATGCATTAATTATAATAGTTAATACATAAAAATGGGTAATTGTAATTTTAATTCAAATGAGAAAATCACATTGCTAAATGGAAGACTTAAATAGATGAAATTGCTTACTGACAGAGGAGACTACTCTATCTATGAACACATTGAAGAGGAGAAATAATATGAATATTGGGTATGGAAATCAGAAAAAGTCACTTTTGAAGAAGCTGAACTAACTGCTTAAGATATTCGATCATGCGAATCGATAACCAAAATCCATTATCACTCAAGAGGTTATATATCTGAAACCTTTACTAAACAATACATATTTGCCATACTTATGGAACATCCTACCTTCAATTTATGGGAGTATTTATATAGACAAAAAATACTCTCCTAAAATTAGATCATAAATATGGTAGTTAACATCATAGAGGCACAAAGAACATTAAGAGATAGTTATTAATATTTGGGGTTCTAAAATATATATACGAAAGATGGGAATTAGTGGATGCTTAAACCTTTCTAATAAAAAAAATCCTTTGTGACCAATAATAAACAATTTGAAGGTTATCCAGCTCCAGAAGAGTTAATGAATATTAAATTTGATGTTGAAAGGGCTACTGTTTTTGGTTTTGGGATGTTAATGTTACATTTAATTTTAAGTAATTTCTCATTCTAATTTAAAATTAGATAAAAGTAATCAGGATTTATATATGGCATCCAGTATTGACTAGAATGCCTTAAGTCTTAGAATCCAAGAATTATTATAGAAGTAAAATTATGATCAAGAGTTCTTAAAAATAATTGGTGAGATGCTAACTATTGATCCAAATTATAGACCTGATTATACAAAGTTAGTTATTTTATTAGCAATCAAAAACATTGGATTGTCACCTCAATAATAGAATCACTTGTCATAAGTTTTAAATTAAAGTTAAAGGAGCAAGAAAAGTGAAATCCTTAATGGATTAGTTTCAGTACCTATAGAAAAAGAGAACTATATCATTAAATTACTTAGCAGTCAATAATAGATGAAAAAAATAGGTGAAGAAGAAGAGGAATCAATGAGTATAATAAATTTTACTTATTTAGATTCTGCAAATAAATAAGTTGAAGAAGTCATAAATACTTACTCTGTCATTTATTATAATAATCATTTGACTTTGAATGAATCTTTTGATTACAACGATTTTACTAGTGTGATGAATTATGCAACTAGATATGAGGGATATGTTAAAAACAAAAAGTATAAATATACTTAAATTATAGAAAACATGGTTCAGGAACATTGTATTTATCAAACTATGAATATTTTTAAGGAAATTTTGTAAATGATTTAATAGAAGGTTAAGGGCAATTTTATACTCTCAATAAGAGTACTGTGAGAGGAGTATGGAAGGCTCAAATACTTTAGGCGAGGTTATCAATTTCTAGATTCAAACCCTTATTCTAGTAACATTAATAAATGAGTGATAAAAGTAATGAGAGAACACAGGTTTAAAGTGTAGTAGAAGATGTAGCTGAGGAAATATGGTATTCAAATGTTGCTCCGATATTTGATGCATCTACTTAGTTTCATTCTGATAATAAATAATATAAAACATAATAGAGTGATCAAATTACATTTCATTCAACTGTAGATTTAAATAATCGCAGATAAGGTAAATATCATAATTAAACTCAGGTTACATATCAAATGAAGAAGGAATTGTCATATATGCTGGCTTATTTTGTGGTAATCAATATGATGGTTATGGAGTACTCAAGAATCTTAATTATGAATAGATTGATTTTGTAGATCATTTGAATTTAAACTTAGCTAGCAAAGCGTGGGTTAAATATGATGGCCAATTCAAAATGGGAAAGTAAATAATTATAAAAACAAATTAGAAAAAATGGGAATGGCACTTTACACTTTTCTGATAAGAGCATCTTTTAAGGAATATTTTAAGATGATTAAATATCTGGAATGGGATAATTTATTAATTCAAGAAATGAGGTTATAAATGGTAGATGGATCAATGGATTATATCTATAAGAGACTAAATGATTTTTCTGATTCAATTCTGTATTTCTACTATATATACAAGATAATTAAGATTTATAAAAACAAGAATTGAAACCTATAGCGTTATTGCATCATTAAGAATAATAGTGACAATTTTTAAATTCGACTTTTCTGTTTAATCGTTAGGTAAACCGTCACTTTCTTGAAAAACAAATTTATTAACCATTTTTACACAGATAGCTATGAAAGTGTTAATCTGAATTCCCTATAAGAATTCTATAAATTTAATGAATGAATTTTTGTTCTCATTTTTAAATTGGTCATTCTCACAGTTATTATTTATCAATTTTGAATTAACTTAACTGTATTCTACTATACAGCTCTATCCCATATAAATGAATGTTTAATTCTATGTCTTTCACTTAATAATCATTTTTTTAAGCGATTCATAATATGTTAATATATTTAATTTAAATATTTTTACTGCCAATTGGAATTTAAGAAGCAGAATTGGTTGAAACAAAGATTAAACATCAGAAATATGTTTCTTTCATGAAACCATACTTGTAAAATTTATTCGTAATCTTCTGATTCTGTTACTCAAGATATTATAAATTACAATCAGTTCGAATTCTTGAGCGCATTTCACTATAATTCTAAATAATGCATATTTTCCAGCTTTATGTAAATTTAGAAATTTTATCTAAGGTATCTTATTTAATTATAACTGTGTAAATGGATCCAATTTAAATAACGGAACGAATTAGGAAAGTGATCTAGTTACTTCTTAGGATATAATTCAATGTGCTGTGCTATAGGAATATACATCAAGACTAAATTCAGTATAGTTCTTTTATATCATATGATAAATAATTTCTAAAAACTTAGGATGAAGTGGAATTAATATAAATAAAAAAAAATATTCTATTATGTTTGCTTCTTTAAATCAATGGAAAAGAGTTGAAAATGTCCCTCCAATTGCGGATGAAATTTGCCATTACGCAGTTCAAAATGCTAACCAATAGAATAAAATCGGAAATGGAGAATAAAATATCGTAATATTTTTGGATTTGAAGGAACTTGGGTTCGATAAAAAAAAAGCAGTAATCATTAAAATGTCATAAATTATTGGAGAATTCATGAAAAAAAATTTCAAAAAATATTCAGTTTACTTAAATACTAATAATATGTATTTGAAATACAAAGAGTAGTTATTGAGTAAGGATTGCAAATTTAGTGATTATAATTTCGTAAGTAATGAAATAGTATATTTCACATAATTAAATCAAGAATAAATTGAAAAAAGGAATCCAAAATGTTTTTAACTTTTGATATCTTTGTTAAATCCCTTTTAGCAAAAACCCTTGTACTGCAAGTATGTGGTTGGGATACTACTATCTATGATGTTAAGCTAAAAATATAGGATAAGGAAGGATATAATCCGAATCAAATTGTACTCCTTAGAATGGGGAATCGTCTAGAAGAAAAAAAAACTTTAGTTGATTATAACATAATAAAAGAGACTACTTTGTATATACAATTAAGACCAAGAGGTGGTTGTTTTCCTGGAAATGCTCCAATAAAACTTTTTGATGGAAGAACAAAAATAATAAATTAGATTGAGTTAGGTGATATTGTTATGTGTTATGATTTTGAATAAAAAGAGTTCAAGTAGTCAAAGGTGCTATTTAAGAAAATCTCATCTGAAAAATAATAATTAATAGAAATCATATGTGAAAATGGAAGAATTGTTTGTACACCAAATCATCCTGTTTATACTTACACAGGATGGAAAGCATAGAACCACATCCAAATTTTTGTATTGAAAAGTTAAGTGCTACTGATCTTATATTTGATTCTAATGAAAGGTTTATTAATATTACAACTGAATATCCAAATAACTTCATTGCCTTTGACTTTTTAGTTCATAATCTGAATAAAATACGAGTTGAAATTTATGAAAATAGAGAAGAATTTGAAGTAATGCCAGGTTTTTTAGTCTAAAACTTAAAAGTCATTATTGAAAAGAAAAAAGGAATACCTGTGAAAAATTAATAATTATATTTTAAAGGAATTTTAATGAATGATCATTTTTCGTTAGAAGATTAGAATCTATAACTTAATGAATCTGAACCAGATTTCTTAATATTAAAAGTAATAAATGATTTTCAAGGATATTAATAAGCATTTGATAACAATTTCAATAATAACAAGAATATTTCAATAATAACACATAATTAGTAATATGAATTATCATTTAAGAAGAATGATAAAATAGGAAAAATAAAAGAACTATTATAGACTTTAGAATCTAAAAGAGTAAATAGAAAGATCATTCATATTATGTAATGGAAAACCATTACAGTCTAAAAATATGGACGAAAATATTGATATATTAAAAAGAAATTCAGTTTTTAAATGGATTGAGTAATTTTTGATTTAATAAAGACTTATTCTACAGAGAAATATTAGACTAAATGATTGATTTTCTGTTGATTTTAGCATAAATTAATGCATAAAAGAATATAATTTTTAATTTTATTTTCAAAATTTCCAATTATCTTTGATTTTGCAATAATTTTTTAGTAATAAGTCATTATGTAATAATAAAATCATATAATTAATAAACAAATATTTTTATTTTTTTAAACACTACAGTAGATCTAATCAACGTTGAAAGTATATTTTTGATTGATCAACAATCTGGAGGAGTCTCAATTAGATTCACTTTAGAGATAAATGATCAGTAGTTGGAGAATGTATCTTAACTTAAAGATTCCTTGTAATGGTTACGAATTTAATAAATTAATAAAGAAAATTAAATTATTAATAAATCCATCTTCATTGTATAATTGCAGTTAGACTATATACAAGTAACTTAATTTATAGAAAATTAAATAATGATTTAAGAATATCTGATTATTCAAGTTGGAAGGAGTACTTAAGATATTTAATAGAAGGATTAAGATATATGAAATATTATAAAGGAGTTGCATATCGTGGAATTAGGGATTATTAAAATACTTCAATATATCGAAAGGGAAAGGTTGTTTAATGGAGTGAAGTTACCAGTATTTCATTAGATTAAAACATTGCATAATATTTTAGTAATAATAAAGGAATGATATTTAGTATTTAACTCATCAGTGCCAAAAACATCTCCAATATCTCAATTTATGAAGGAGAATAAGAATTAATAATGTATCCTTTTTCAACCTATGTTGTTGATGAAGTTGAGGTGAAACAAAATTAACCATATATTATAAAAATGAGAGAATTTCCATTACCAAGATCACATCATGTGTTATTATGGGTGGATGACAATCCTGAAAACAATTATAACTATGCTTAAGAAATAGAAATATAACATAATAAAGTTTCAGTTATATTTTGTACATCAACCAAAGATGCAATATTAATAATCTAAAAATATAAATGGATGATATATTTATCGGAATCTTAGTTTAGAGTTATTAGTGATATGGTAAGAATAGAAGATGGTTAACCGAATTAGAATACAGGAATAGAACTATTGTGTCATTTATATTAATAAATGAAATACAAAAATATAACTCTCATTTTTTGTGGAAATCAATACAGAGCAGAAGAAGAGTGCAAAAGTAGAAATATTAAAGAAAATTTTGAAATTACTAATAATCAAAATGTGTTGGAGAAGTTTTCTTCAATTTGATTGATAAATTTTATAACATTAATAAATTGATAACCATTTTTTACAATTTAAATGATGATCATTCGATATTGATTAATTAAGTTCGCTTTTTCTTAGAATAATGAAAATGCAGTTATGGCATTATATTATTATTATATGGTTAAAGAATTTCTTCATTGAGTTCAAGATTAATACCTAAATTAATATAATAAATAATACACAATTATTCTGCTCTGATTTCTTTACATATGAGAAGCATATAACTTTTAATTTTAAGAGTGAATTAATTTAATTTCCTAATATTAAATTTTCCTTGTATTTTAATGATCTTTAATTAATTTTCTATTGTTTCACCTTTAATAATGATTAATTCACTAGTAGAACTATCTATAATACAAGCTAATAATAAATTAAATATTTTTGGAATTGTATTTAAAAATAAATCTGAACCTACTAGTTAAATTGTTGATTTTGGATTACAAAAAGGTTAAATTTTAGATAAAGATTTCTTTAAACTTAAAGTTTTTGATATCATTTATTTATTCCACATTTAAGTAATTTTATCTTACAGTTATATCTTATTTGCTAAATTATGGAATTGATTATAATTAAAAGGTATATCTTTCTTGATTATATTAATAAAGACAGTCAATAATTTTAAATACAATTGACTAACTTTACGAGCTTCCTAATTTTAAATATTTTATTTTGATTAACTGGTCTGAATTAGGATAGTTGGTTAATTTCCAAAAAAGATAGAAATATCAACTTATAGTATTTATTTATCAAATCTAACATGTACTGAATCATTCACTATTTCCAAATATTTTTAAGAGAATTCTTATAATTTATAAAATAAACACTATTCTAAAGTGTCATTTTGTACTTTGGCTTCCCTTAAAAATTTCATGACTTCTACTTATGATTAAATGGTTGGTGAAAAAGTTGAAGTAATACTTTAAAATTACAATTTTTCAATTTGATAATTCATTAAGATAAATTTTTAATTGTGAAGAATCTATTTTAATATATTTTCCCATCTTTAATCCATTTTAGTTAACAGAAATTATGATCTTATTGCTTTATGATAAAGATAGACGATAATAATTAATGATAAATTAGCTCCCAAACCCAATATTATTGTAGTGATGTCTATACTAGGACTGTTTTATACGAGATGAAGTATTCTAAGCGAGTACAATAAAAAAATCGTCATTGTTGAATCCAAAAATTCCATTCCTAATATATTGATTATGTTAATGGCCATTTAATGTGCTCCTCTAAAATACATAGTTGGAGTATCTAGAAGTGGATCAAAGAAGATCACATAAATTGAAAAACAAATGTTAATGTACATAATTAATGCACGTTGGTGATATTCCTTTTCGATATTAAAGAATTTTGAAAGAGCTGTGAAACCGATCATTCCGAGTGAAGGGTAAATGACTGCATAATTTTACATTATTAGCGCGATAGTTAGCTTGATGGTCTAAAGCACAATAAAAAAGAACAAGAATATTTTTAAATGGGTTCTTCTTCTAGGAGATTGATGTTCGAGTTAGTATTTCTATTCAATTGATTGATCTAGAAATTTTAATGTTATCTTATGCATTCCTGATAATAAATAATAATTAAATTGTTCAATAATTCGAAAATTGTGAAGTAAAAACCTTCTTATTGACTTTAATTAAAATGATATATTCATTTTGATATAGTATATAAGATATTCATTAAAAAAGTTTTTGTTTTGTTAATTTGTCTATTTTATTTTCATGGTTGTTTTAAGTATTTAATAATTTATTTTGCCTTAATTTTCATAAAATAATTGCAAATAATAAATATATAAATAATTTCGAATACTTTTAGTATTTATTGAGAATTTATTAGTTAGCTTATTTAATATTAATTGAATAAACTAAATAACTAAATATTACACAAATAAGAAGCAAATGTTATGTTATGGCTTTAATGAGTATAATTACAGACAAGTAAGGAGGCTTAAGTTTGTCATTTACCCTTTCATCATTTAAAAAAAGTACCCTTGTTTCCTTGTACTACGAAATTAATTTAATTATAGATTAGCCTTTCTTAATTTATACATGTTTTTCTGCTATTAAAAAAGAATCTGATAAATATTAAAGATAACAATCTTGAATGCTTTCTTCTATAATAATCAAAAAAATTCTTCCAAATTAATGAATACCCCCTTAATTAAATAAGACCAAAATTTGTGCCTTCATGCATTCAGATTGATAAAAAATGTTCTTAATCCAAAATTTTCTTTTAGATTACACTAATTATAGAAATAAATTTAAAATGTTGGACATATTGGAGATATCATAGAACTAACAGAAAATAACAATAATAGTAATCATAAGTTTTATTTTAAAAAAGTAAGATCTTAAATTTATGTTAAAATTAAATTCACAAGTTACAAGTTTTTGGTTCTTTATATAAGTTCTTACTTATCAAAGTTCTTTTACAATACATTATAAAAAAAAATTATTAAAATATTTCGCTATATCTATTTGAAGAATACAACCTATTGTTTATATGGGCTGATATCTAAAGGTATGTGTTTTATAATCACTTTAATCCCATTCCATGTGATAAAATCAACTTATTGGCTCTAAACACACCTAAATCAGTGTAAAACTTGAATTTAATCTCCTTTTTATCAATAAGTTAAGATAAAAAGATTGTCACTTTTAACTTTTCTATTGCTTTAATAAATTAAAAAAACAACTAAAATTATTTTAACCTTATTTCTCCTTTAAAATACTCATGAATGATACATCTGCAATTATTGACAACTTTTCCTCCTTTTGATTCACTATAATAAATAAAGATGGAAATTGCTATCTCTGGTCTTACAAACCCAGGTATTTATCAAAGTAAAATGATTAGTCTTAAGCGGTCTTGATGGGAACTTAGATTGTACATTCTGATGTTTTAATATTAGAGACTTTTGTTGTAGATTTATGTTTGATTCCGAAATTGAGCATTACTCTATTCTCCAAATACGATTCCTCCTCAATTATTTATTCACTGGTTGTGTCTTGTTATTATCTCCATAGTTCAAGTGATCTCCTAGCTATATCCACATATTCTCCATAATACCCCATTTCTATTACAATCCTTGTCTCACCATTATGAGGCCCCTTTGTGTGAGGAGACATGTATTGTTGAATGCCTAAGCCTTCATTTTGCCAGAAAATTTGAAAAGCAATTAATACCATGAGAACCTAATCCGACAATAATTAATTCAAATAATGTATCAATTTATTTTTATTATAAATCAATTGATATGCAATATTATATCAACCTATCTACACAATATTTTTATAATATAAATATATAGTTCTAATCCAAGATAGTAAACATAGATTTTTTGCCCAAAAATATTAAAGGATTTTAAACCATCTGATTTCAGGATAATATTATTTCAATTGAAACATAATTTATGAAGATAAAAACAGCGAAATAGAACGGCAAAAAAGTTCTTAAAGTTACCAAAAATTAAGTTCTAAAAGATGCAGGTCTACTATTAAAATATAACATAAAGCCTAATTAATATGAACTTTTTCTAAAATTTATTAAAATTCAATTTTATATTTGAAATTTATATTTTTTTGAACATCACTCTAATTGTTAAGGTCATCTATTATAATTTTAAGTAGGACTCCTGTTTTGTCAGATATCAATTATTTCATAATCAGTTTTGATCATTATGTGTGTGACAATTATGGTATTATATTAATCAGAATGATAATAACAGTAATGTTTGTGTTAGTTTGTAAATAATAGATGATGATAGATCATTCAATGAATTGAATATCCGAATAATAGGTATCATAAATGTTTTCTAATTGGATAGAAAAGATAAAAGGTGAAATAATTATTAAATGTTAACTACTTAATTAAATGAAGTAATACGAATAGTACTTGAAATGTTCATCAACAAGAAGTGCAAAAAAAGAATAAAGTGAAAGGTGGTTTCACACACCCAGAGCCATTAAAGAATATAAATACTATAATCTGATAATAAGATTTAAATCAGAAAAACAATAGAAACCTAGATGATAACTTAACCATGTACATCCTTCAAAGAACAATTCTAAAAAAATATCATCGAAAATTGGTAGTTTTGTTACTCTTACAAGTGATCTCCAATCTCCAATTCAATTTATGAACTTTAAGTCAAAGAATAGAAGACAATCGATATGTAGAATGAAAATACTTCTTTGTAAGAAAGTGTTACTACAAACTTTAGTAAGAAATTGTGAATCTTCAACAACTGATGCAAAGTCAGAATGAATAAATTAACTTAAGGATATGGTTATTGAGAAATTACACTTTACTATCTAATAGTTAATATCCTATCTCAAATAATTGAATTTATCCTTGGGTTCAGATAATGATGTGTCAAAATAAAAAACAGAAATTAAAATGTTAGAGAATGAGTTAGCTCACAAAACTAATTATATTTAACAATCCTCTAAAGTATATCCTTTCATAGAAATAGATTCAAGATGAGATCAAATCATTAGAAGACTTTAAGTTAAAATGATATCCAAAATGAAGCTGATTTATTATTTCAAATTAAGGCATTGTTAAAATTGTAAGATCATGTTCAATGCATGAATAAAATTTATGTACTTAATTTGCAGCATGAAGAACTTCCAATTGATCTCCTATTTAAATATAAATAATACGGATTTTTTGAAGAAGAATAGAAAATCAATCAGAAAGTAGAAGTCTTTGTATTAACCAAAGAAAATGAAAACTTATTATAGAAAGTATTGGATAGCATCAAGAAAACCTTTGAGAAGATATATTATCATCTTGAAGGATTTTCATTATTGACCAAACATTGAATATATATATTTATATTAGTTTATGATTATAAAATATATATATATGTCCTTTTTCATTCTTAAATCAGACTATCTGATTCCCATATATGTGAATAATCAATAAATAGAGTAGACTTATTAACACATTGCATACTTCCATATATTTCCATTCCCAAAAAGTACATTAATATGGGATAGATTAAGGTTACACACAATCCTAATATGATATGTCCGACCACTATCATAACAAGGTATGATTCATATTATTGTGGTTCAAAGTACTCCATTCCATACTAAACTGAAAAGACCATTAGGTAAAAGATCATGATTCTGATAAAGAGAGTCAATCTTGTTCTGAATTTAGACTGCACTTCATACAACCCTTCTTCATAAACTCCTCTGAAAATAACCAGTCCTAATCAATAGTTCTCTTTTGCTTACCCAACAATGCTCCTATGACAATAAAATAGTAGCCATAGGAATGAGAAGTCGATCTCTAGAGGATGAATCCAGTTTCATCATCTAATTTTTCCAATCCATTCCTTACTCTACATTCTTAAACAGCATCCATAAATTTATAATATAAATCAGAATTCTATGCATAGTAATTGCGAGAGTAGAAATCAGCTGATAAAGATAGTGTTAAAAATACTAAAAATAAAGTGGCTGTAAAGAAGGTTAATTTGTGACTAGAATATTTGATATGCTTATAAAGGAATCTGAATTGTATTAATAGAATTATTACTTCTTTAGGTATAAATGCACAACATTCAGGTAAATAATATACATGCATAAAGTAAATATGATGCCATAAACTACTTATCCAATAGAATGTACTCCTAAAATTACTCTGGATGAACAAACTATGAAAGCTATGATTGTGTAGAGAATTGCTTTTAAAAGTGGCACCTTCATTTCTTCTTCATTTTCAAAACGGTCAGCCTTGTAGAGGGATATCATATAGGAGACAATACAAATAGCATGACCTGAGGGTTTACCTAATTCTGCAATGCATTCTAAACTATAATAGAAGGGCAGAATACGTTTAAACATCTGTATTGAACATATAGGGTCTGCCTTGATTATATATTTCTTTTAAAAACGCGTGTGTTCCTGTTAAAACACAACTGAATAAAATCAACAAAAGCACATCTAATTTCTTGTTGAAACTCAGATATAGGTAGAGAAATATGATTTCGCATAGCAATAAGGAGGTGCTCTTAATCAGATAGCTAAACTCAATAAACGAGGGATTCTTAATAGAAAAGATCAATTTGTAAGTGTATTAAAGCAATGTCTCATCGATGAAGAGATCCACTATTATGTAAATACCAAATAGTATGATTCCTAGAGTAGCGTTTTTCTTTGAATTAAATTGCATTAATTTTAATAGATGCAAACATGTGAATATTCTAAAATAAGTTCAAACTCCACAGGAATGAATGTCACCCTCCGAGATTTATTAGATTAGCCAATTCAAACCAAAACAGTCAAAGTAGTTGAAGTCTTTATTAGTATAACTTGTGTACATCATATAAGATGAGGGTGATTATGTGTATAATTGTTATAGTGCTCTAAATGTTTAAAATTAAGGAGAATTTTTGGAACTTTATAATAGATGGCCTGGATAAGTTGAGGAGGTTTATATAAAGGAAAATGATTTGATTGGAATCGATAGTGTGCTCTACAATATTCGAAGTGATTTCAGGTAGGATCTACAGGTTGAATTGATTTAGTACGGAGTTTCTAATAAGCGCACTTAAAACATAAGGATAAATATTATCAAGAATAAGGAAGAAAACATGGTTGAATAACTGGAGACTATTTCATTAGATCCTAAAATCATACTTGGACACAAAGACAATATGTTTAGAGTGGAAATGAATGATGGAAGAATGAATGATATAAATTATTTGGTTATGAAAAATAAATACCCTCATTTAGTAGTATAATATTTAGAAAAATTGTGAATAACTATTACCATTATTATATATCATGAATGTATTATAAATAAATATAATTATATCATAAAGGATGGAATTTCTATTAGATGTAGTAAGAGAAATATTGGGTTTTTATTATTTATTTGAAAATTTCATCCTCAGTTGAATTTAGTGTCTTCTCTTATATTTGATCTAGGTTGATTTCACCATCAACTTCTGGAATCAAAGAAAGTAAATTCTCCTAAATGTAGGTTTTAGTATCCTCTAAGATTTTCAAACTCAAATTCAATGTTGCTTCATTATTATCTGCTAAATAATGTCCTGGAACACTTTATTGACGTATTGATTAATAAGTTTGGAATAAATTATAAAATAAAGTAGTGTACATCTTACTCTCTGTTAGATTCTTAGCTAAATTAAAAAATCTGAGTTTGTTAGCATCAAAAAACAGTACTTGAGATTGTTCATCAAAAAAAGATTCATCATCTTCAATACCCAAATTACGTAATCCATTATCATTATCTTTGACAATTCCACAAATAATAGGAACAGGAGAATCAAGTATTGGCATCAATTAGGCAGTCAAAGCATGAATAGTAGGGTGTATGTGTTAAAATGGTTGAATCATGTGTGGTAAAATCATCCTATTGAATATATATAAAAATTACAATAATGAGCTTAACAAAGTGCGATTATAACTAATGATGCAGATATTCTACTCCAACATCATGTTGATTAATAGAATTAAATAATGCGGTAATTCGATATGTGATAACGCATATGAGATTGCCCATTCGATTTCATAATTTTGAACATTTGCACTGTGAATGAGTTAAGTTTTAATTGGAGTTTGTAAAAATTAATAATTGCATTCACTTATAAACTTGGAATTCTGCAATTCTGTTAAGAAATTAAATAGTTCAGGTTTGAAGGACTATTGTTATAGAATTGATTTTTACCGTATAGAAAGAATTATCAATATTTCCTAAAGTATCCTCAAATTCTGAAACCATTGAATAGATCTCTGCTTTTTTGTATTTTAATGTGTCTATTTATTAATAATGTAAATACTTATAATAATTTTGATGACTTCGATGAAGAAATCAATAATTGGGGCTTTGGTGATGAAACAATATGTCTTGGAAAGTGAATAAAAGTATTTCTTTTGTAATTTTGAGTTATTGTTGGCAACATTGTAATCATAGAAGTCAGGAACATCAACACACACACAATACAATTAATGGTGAATATTAGTGATTGAGATTAGATCGCTGATATTATCTGTATTTATTTATGTAGCATTATTAATAATTTTATTGTTATTGAATGTTTATTCTGATTTCATAGTAATTACATATGCACCTGCTAATCTATCATAACTTTAACCACCCATCAGAATTCTAAAATAAATGTTAGATAATGTACGAATTCAAATTACTCATGGATAGAGTCTTCTCTTCTAATTTGACTTTCAATCCGTATGGATGTATTTATTAAGGCAACAATAATAGTTGTTCCTTATAGCACGATGTAGCAGATGAATGTTGAAATAATATCTCAGGTTTTAAGTTGACTTCTCGCTTTTCTAATATATTACTAGTGAGTCCATTCAAAGTTTGTTTAGAGACACTAATAATGATGAATTCTTCAAATAATGAATATTATTATTGTTATTCTTATTACAATGATTATTTCTATGATATTAATTATGATTCTGTGGCAATAGGTTCCTAAAATAACTGCTATGAACTAAAATTTGATTCCTCACCTTTACATTATTCCAATTTCTTCTTAGAATATTTCTGTATTATCTAGTCAACTTTAGATGCATTATCATAATTGTATTCCTACACTTAAATTTCTTAGACCACAACTTAATGTAATTCATCTTCACTATATTTTCTAAGTTCTGCCACTTCAGGACTAATGACTTCATCCTGTTCGTTATTACATTTCTTCGGACTCAAGTTATTCATATGCAAAGTTGTTTTCTTTGTCTCAAAGATTCTTTTCCCTAAAATTGATATACATTCAGGCTACTTTATGGTTAAATTGTTTAGGCCACCTTCTTATATCGATCTAATGAGACCGCACTATAGAATTCATCTTGTTTCAAAGCTAACTTTGATTTTTAACATGAAATACTTGCAACTCAAATCTCAATTATCCATTTTCTTTTTTCAACTACTCTATTTATTAATCTTTGTCTCTTAATTGTATTTGGTAATGTGTTATTTCACGAACCAAATCGTAATTCTTTTAAACCAATCTTTCCTACTTATTAGAGTGTTGCTTACATTTTTCTCTTCTAACAACTTAATCTGCGTTTTGTATTCATCCATATCCAATATCTAAGACACATATTATTTCGATTTCATAATTTATATATATTATATATATATACTCAATATTTTATATTTATAATTTAACAGCTACAATGTTTGCATCCACTCCTAAACTTAAAACATATTCGTCATTACTCTAAAATTCTATCTAACATAAACCCATTCAATAACCAATTTTCGCAGAATTGACTCCCTCTACACCATAGAAGTTTAATATGTTGAAGAATGTCAAAGTACTCAATGTCCCATCTCAACCAACTGAAAATAGTTTTAGATCCAGCAATGCTAAAAGAATATTAACATAAGATAGTCCATAAATAAATAAGGAGAATTCTAATTTTAGACTTGATTAATCCTCAAGCTAAATTGAAATTTAACTTAAGCATTACATGTAAGAGAACAAAAAACTCTCTGATTTGGTTTCCAAATTGACAAAAGAAAAACAAGAATTACTTGATTAAATTAATAATACAGATTTTAATGTTATCAAATAGAGAGTAGAAAGATTAGAATCTATCATTGATCATTAAACAGATGAAATTGAGGATTGGAAAAATAAATATAAAGATGTATGTTAAACTGATTAAACCACATCTATCATCCAAAATATGGTATCTCAATTTTATTACAATTAGGAAACACAAATAGCATCACTACTTAAGGAAAATGAAAAGTTAAATAATATTAACTTAAGCGAAGTTAAAAAAATTGGGAGTTTAGAATAGGTAATCAAAGATTTAGAATACAAAGTGGCCGATTAAAACAATTAAATTATTGCCTATGAAGAAGAACGAATCAATTACCTTGAATAACCAAATCATACAATAAATTCAAACTTATTAGAATACATATAACTTATCGAAAAAGTATGATATATAGAATCATTAATAGAATATCACTGATATGTCTTAATATGAACAGGATAATCAAAAGAATTATGAAAAATTGAGGGAAGAATTCAACGATCTCAATACTAAAATGAATTAGATAAATTTTTCAAATACTAATGTAGATCAATTTACTGATATCTTAAACGAATTGAGAAATAGTATTAACAACTAGACAAAATGATAATTATTATATAAACTTACTTTGATTACTTTAAAAGATCTTTGGTTTATTAAGAGTATATTCTTCAAAGCTGTTAAGATTAAAGCAGAAAATTGCATATATCATCTCGAGTATCTTTATAACTGTGGATTTTATGTTATTCAATTTAGGTCTCTTTTGACCTATCCAATCTGAATATAATTTCTCATTACGTATTTAATTATGCCGAAATCAAAGTATATCCCAAGACAAGTTTTAATTAATATTTGTCATTCATATTGAAACATCATAAAAACTTGCCCCAATATTTAATTTTTCATTTTTAGCCTATTGGTTTGATGTATTGAAAACAAAAGTTTTGTGCTATCGTTCAATGTCCCATAATCTTTTGAATTTGTAATTTTCTAATTCAATTCTTGAATACTACTATTTCAATTTGTAACTTTTTCAATGGTCAACTAGGAAGTGTGAACTTATTTAATCTTGTTCAATTTTATCAATTTTACAATTATGGTTCTTTGCATTAATAATTTTAATGCATTCCCAATGACTTATTACTTTAGGTCAAATTTGAAGACATTTAGAAACCTAAAGAACTATTAAATGTTAGGATAGAGAAACATAGGAAGATGTAAGGATGAATATTTATTAAAATAATTCCATATTTCTCTAAGTTTTCTTGGATTTTATAAAAATAGCTTAAAAAAAAAAATCGTTTTTTCAGTTTATAATGAGATTATGATGATAATTTGAGTAAAGTTATTTTGATCATAATCTAACTCTTCTGTTTAAGCTAAATATTCTGAGAATTTATCATAAGAGTCCTTTATTCTATTTAGATTTGACCTATCCAACTAATTGGATTGGTAAGAAAAATTAATTATTAAATTTAGATAATTTTTAGTTACTCTAACTTTACAATTCGTTTGGATAATTTCACAAGTTTATCTTATCCTGTTGATCACCTTATTAAGTATATAAATATAATTTTTATATAATCAAATAAACAATAGTTTAAGATCTTAGGAGGTTGATGGCTTTTGTAGAATTTTATCGGCACCAGCGCTAAGGCAATTTTGTCGAGTCTTTATATCATTAAAAGCAGTCAACATGTAGATTTTAGTAGTTGGACTTATTCGTTTGATTTCATTAATGCATTATAACCCATTCATTCCTGGCATGTTGAAATCCAAAAATACAATATCATAACACCGTTTCATTACCAAATCTATTGCTTCTTGCCCCCCAAAGGCAGTATCTACCTTATAGATTCCTATTTTTGATAACTATAATTTTAATAGCATATTATTAAAAGACTCATCATCTACGATTAAGACTTATAATTTATCTTTTTTGTTAAGTTTTTTATGGAATGGAGTAAGTTGGTTTGTACTAAGCATATTTTTATTTGGAGAATGCACTGATATATCGTAATCAATGGAATCGACACTAAACTAATCCTAATATTAAGAATTCTATTTATCATAATTTTTATAAATGACGAATTAAAAAGTTGAACCAACTCCAACTTATGATTATAGATAAATGTACTACAAAGGTCCAATGTACCCACACAGCTGCTTGCAGATGATCAATCCTAAACCAACACCATTTCTAACTTTTTATACTAATACTCTACTTGTTTGTGTTGTTATCATCGTCATAAGTGGCAAAGTTTCTGAAAAGTCTTCTTTAAATTTCTTGGGTCATTCCGCTTCCGCTGTCATAAACTGTACAAAGAATTAACCTTAATTGGTTTCGAATTAGAGGATCAATATCAACTACTGATTTATTAGTATTAATTTATTCTTTAACATTACTGCAAAATTTGCAAATATCCATAGGTTCATCAGAAAAGATAATGGATATTTTTCCTTTTGATGTGAATTTAATGGCATTTGATAGTAAATTAAAGAGAACTTACTTAATTCTTAGAGGATCATTATTTAAAACTTAAGTAGATTTTAGTTTAGAGACAATGTCTAGCTATAAGTTCTTCTTTTGTGTTTAGATATGAAATACATTTTTTACATCTTGAATCAATTATTAAATATCGAACTCACTAATGGCTAGCTTTAACTTCTATTATTTAATTTATGAGAAATCTTATAAATCATTAACAAAGGATTGTAGTATTTATACATTTGTTTAGCACATCTCTAAATAATTGCAACAGGACTGAATTTTTTCAAGTATTTCTGGGTTAGTTTCCATCTCAGACAATTCATATAAACTATCCTATACTAAAGTTATCATAGATTAAACAACACCTATTGGATTCTTCAAATCATGACTAACTGTAGCCAACACATTGTCTTTATATTAATCTAGCTTTTCAAGCTAAGATATTTTGATTCTATCTGTTATTTCTATCAAAGAAACTACAAAGCATTTTTAGTATTTCCAAATACATGGAGATACTAAAATATCATAAGTTTAATGATGATTATTACACATTAATCCTGTTAATTTTAAAGGCAGACTTTCTTGAAGTTCTTTGTTTTAAGAGTTATTCATGTATTAATAGAGAATTTAATTTAAAGACTAAGGATTGTCAATCATATTGATTTACTCTCCTGTTGCTTTTAAATTATTTAAAAAGAGTTCTTGAGTTAAATTGACTTTTAAATTGCATTAAGAAATATTGGACTCATTACAATTGATAATCTATATTTGATTAATTTTTTGGTAAATGCTTTCAATATTAGCAAATTCCTTGTTACAAGCCTAATTGACGAATAGTACCTCAAATTAATCTTATATATTTTAATCTAAATTCAACTTAATAACAAACAAGTTCTATTGTAGGCTATGGTTAAGCACTACCTCTTAATATGAAAGATCATGACTAAAATTAAATTTCTCAAAAAAATAGATTAATTTCCTTCTCTCTCTCAAATAAATACAAATGGATATTACAAGAATAAACATCCATTCAAAAGGTAATAGGATCCAATCAAAAATATTATCAAAATACAAATAAGTAAATTACATTATTGTAAAGTAACATATTAGGTATTTCTTGTTGTTTAAACTTTGAGTAACATACATATAATATAATTACACATATCCGTTAATCATGAATTAATCAACATACAAACTTAAATAGATCAGAATTGTTACAACATGAATGATTTTCCAATAATCATTACATGTTGAGTTCCTTAACATACTCCATATCTGTAGCAGACTTGACAACGGAAAAACTATCAGGATTTATGATTCAACTGACTAATTGTCTTTAACTATTGCTGAAATAGCCAAAGCAAACTCCAAAAGCATTTTAAAGGTTTCTATTAAAATCATTGGACATTTATTTAACTTTTTCTGGAAAGCATTAAAACTGTTCTGAACATCCTAATCTCGGAAGTTTAGAGTTGCATTCAAAAGTGCATTTTCAGGTTATAGGTTTCTTGATAGCGACAATAAATACTTCATCTAAGAGTGATTATATATTACTTAATTATATATTATTTTTTTTTTCATATAATACCATAACTTTGAAGATATATCTTACATAATGCTTATTTTGTTCAATATTAATCAATTTGAACTCCAAAAAATTTATAAATTTCATCATCATTTTCTATCAAATAAAAAGTTTGCAAATTTTGATGTTCTTCTTAGCAGCATATTTTATCCTATTCTGGAAAACGCAAGAGAGATTCTTTAATTTGTGATTTGAATTTATCAGTATAGAAATTTATAATGGGTAATCTTTTGAATCATATATTATATAATCAAATTATATATAATTTGTAATAAGTTGATGAATATCATTGCCTATTTTCAAAAAAATATAGAATTCATAGATAACACTCTCAAATATAGAATAGATTCCTGAAAAATGATTTCAATATGGTAATAATTTTTATTGCACTTATTGAAACGAATTGATTTAATAATTATGTTAAAACAGATAAGTTGAATTTGAATCGTTTTGGATATTAATCAATAGCTTTCCATATTTTCCAGTTGTAGATTTTAATCTATCCATCCCTTTAAAAAGTAACAAATCAAAAGTCTCAAGCATATGGTTTATTGATTTTTTACAATCATTAAAGGTTCAAACTGGCTTAATCAATAATCATGAATAACCCATATAAATAAACCTAAGAATTCAGTATACTTAAATAAATAAACTAAAAAATAATTAGATCTATTTATTTAATGAATTTGAGCCAAATATGATAATTTATTAATTGTAAACAAATAATTTATAATATTTAAAGTTAAAATTAAATGTTAAGTAATCAAAATATTTAAAATAGATATGATCTGATATTTTAAATACAGTAATTCAATTATAATATAAATATAATAAAAAATAATTTAAAACTCTTAGCCAGGTTGAATATAACATATAATATAATCGAATTTAATTTAATTTATATTTCATACCTCAATAGGAATATGGTTTCTTACACCTAAAAAGATGGCAAACCTTCTGAACAACAGATGTAAGACATCATTATCTAGAAGGCTCTAATGATTTGCTTGAATAAAAGCTACAAATAAGACAATATTTTTAATAATAGCGAGGATAAATCAATTTTGCAAAATAATCTCGTTGTATCTTAGCCATTAATTAGGACTCATTATGTTGAGAAAATAACCCCTTTCTAATACAATTTCAGCAGACGTGTATTATTTTACATATAAATCCCTATAAAACTTCTACTTAAATACAACATAGCCTCAGCTTGAAGTCCATTATCTTAGGCATTAGAGATTCTATTGATAAGATCTTTAAGCCTAATTTAATTCTTTAGATTTTAAGCCAATGTGTAAATATAAAATTATTTTTAAATAATAATAATCCTCTTCATCTGAAAAACACTGTGCCTATTCTGAATATCTCCATCTTTTCATAAGACTGATTCTTCATTAGCTATTCAATATTGTATTCTAAGCCTCAAGCAGATATTAGAGCTCTTAATTCAACGACAACGAATAATTCAGCATTTCCCTCCAAGCTTTTAGGCTCAGCCGTTGTTGGGGAGCACCCTTGCCACTGAACCTCACTCTTTCCCTTCTATTACTTTTTGACCTAACTAGATGTCATTGCGCTCATTCTGGGTCCCTCTCTTCTATAGTAAACTTGAAGAGGAGAATCCTCATAATATTGTTCTCAATATATCTCTTCAAACTACTTCCAATTATTCTCTCTTCTTTTTCTATGTGTTTGATTTAGCATATCTTCGCTGACCTATTTAACTAAAGTTAATGGAGAAGTTCTGTGTTATCTATCATTCTACGATAGATGGGACTATCTCCTTTTACTTGACTGCATTAACTATGGGTGGTCTTCTGGAAGAGAACTCCTCCTATTTATTTATGATCACCATTACATTCAGAAATTTCTTGATGGTATTTATTATATCAGCAATAGTTTACCACATTCTGACCTTATCAGACAATCAACTAAATCTTTCTTTAGAAAAATATTTCATTAGAATTCAATTATCCACAGTTTGATACATATTGGTAATAATTAATGGTGTCCTAAGCCCTTATGTTTTGCCCACTTCCCTTCAACCGCTATTTAGATCTTCATTTCCTTAAATAGTTATTCTAGATAACCTCAAGGTCTATACTTGCCTCAAATATCCATTCAGCATTCTTTTTTTTTTAATCATCGACTTTTCTTATTATATTATCTTAAGAATAGTATCCTTAATATTCTTTCTCTGGTTTGTTCTCCGTAATGCATCTTATTGAGGGCTAGGACGATTCTTTGGACTCTATAAAATGTCCTTTTTTGATTAATGTCTACTTCTATCTATCCTTATGAACGTTTCTATCTTAGTTTTCATGTACNCATACCTCAATAGGAATATGGTTTCTTACACCTAAAAAGATGGCAAACCTTCTGAACAACAGATGTAAGACATCATTATCTAGAAGGCTCTAATGATTTGCTTGAATAAAAGCTACAAATAAGACAATATTTTTAATAATAGCGAGGATAAATCAATTTTGCAAAATAATCTCGTTGTATCTTAGCCATTAATTAGGACTCATTATGTTGAGAAAATAACCCCTTTCTAATACAATTTCAGCAGACGTGTATTATTTTACATATAAATCCCTATAAAACTTCTACTTAAATACAACATAGCCTCAGCTTGAAGTCCATTATCTTAGGCATTAGAGATTCTATTGATAAGATCTTTAAGCCTAATTTAATTCTTTAGATTTTAAGCCAATGTGTAAATATAAAATTATTTTTAAATAATAATAATCCTCTTCATCTGAAAAACACTGTGCCTATTCTGAATATCTCCATCTTTTCATAAGACTGATTCTTCATTAGCTATTCAATATTGTATTCTAAGCCTCAAGCAGATATTAGAGCTCTTAATTCAACGACAACGAATAATTCAGCATTTCCCTCCAAGCTTTTAGGCTCAGCCGTTGTTGGGGAGCACCCTTGCCACTGAACCTCACTCTTTCCCTTCTATTACTTTTTGACCTAACTAGATGTCATTGCGCTCATTCTGGGTCCCTCTCTTCTATAGTAAACTTGAAGAGGAGAATCCTCATAATATTGTTCTCAATATATCTCTTCAAACTACTTCCAATTATTCTCTCTTCTTTTTCTATGTGTTTGATTTAGCATATCTTCGCTGACCTATTTAACTAAAGTTAATGGAGAAGTTCTGTGTTATCTATCATTCTACGATAGATGGGACTATCTCCTTTTACTTGACTGCATTAACTATGGGTGGTCTTCTGGAAGAGAACTCCTCCTATTTATTTATGATCACCATTACATTCAGAAATTTCTTGATGGTATTTATTATATCAGCAATAGTTTACCACATTCTGACCTTATCAGACAATCAACTAAATCTTTCTTTAGAAAAATATTTCATTAGAATTCAATTATCCACAGTTTGATACATATTGGTAATAATTAATGGTGTCCTAAGCCCTTATGTTTTGCCCACTTCCCTTCAACCGCTATTTAGATCTTCATTTCCTTAAATAGTTATTCTAGATAACCTCAAGGTCTATACTTGCCTCAAATATCCATTCAGCATTCTTTTTTTTTTAATCATCGACTTTTCTTATTATATTATCTTAAGAATAGTATCCTTAATATTCTTTCTCTGGTTTGTTCTCCGTAATGCATCTTATTGAGGGCTAGGACGATTCTTTGGACTCTATAAAATGTCCTTTTTTGATTAATGTCTACTTCTATCTATCCTTATGAACGTTTCTATCTTAGTTTTCATGTACACCCTCTACTTGTAATATTCTATATTTTTTTAAATTACAAATTTTTTAAATCAGATTTTAATGTAAAAAAAATAAGCTAAATTTAAACCATTCTTTTCTTTAAATTTGATATTTTTTTTATTCTCGTTAACAACTATTTAAAAGAGAGTTTTAACTAAACTATCATTTGACAAATCATTTCGAATAGCAATAAAGGATAGTATAAAAGTCATAAATTTAAAACCAGTTTAGAAGAGTAGTTAAGGCTCTGCAAATTAAAATAATTTAGCTGTTACATAGTTTCTATGAATTTGATTAAACAGGGATCAATTTCTCTTATATTCTGTTATTTAAAACAAATGATTGAAGATGAAAATTTAGAAAAATTTATTATTAACAATTAAAAAAATCAAAAGTATCAATTGAAAGTTTTAGATATCACTATAATTAACAGTGGTAAATACGCTAGTTGCAACATCTGCAGAATGAGTGCAAGGTTTACTTAATTTTGATAGATAATTTAATTTGGTGAAGAGCTGTTTCCTACTTCGTTAGATGAATGTTTAGAGGTTGGAATGAATAGATATTTCAAAATTCAATTTGATAGCAAATGCGTGCTCTAAGCAAAAGAACGCGTCATATCCTTTGAAAGAGTAATTGTAATAGATTACCAGTAATATCTATTTGTAGGGTTTTACTATAGATAGTCTTGATATGCTTTTGGTAAAGTTTTTATAGAGAGCTAATTACTTTTGGACAGATTAGATTTAACTAATTATGGCTTGAAAATGACTTTAATATATTAAGACCAAGTTTAGGTACTTTAAATAGCTAAAAGATTCTTCTGATAATGAAAAATTAATTTTTCATATTTTTTTTTTGCTGTGTTGACAAAGTAGCTTTCCTTGTTTACTAAATAGACTATCATTTTTTTTTGGAATTTTAAGGGAAAAATTTCTAACATTTTGCGATAAAATACATTTCTGTTGGGGGCTTATAGACAGAATTCAAATTTAAGCCCTTATATTTTTGTCTGGAAAAAAAAAGTATAAACTG